GTGGGGGAGGCGGTGGTGGGGCTCTCCCACCACCGGGTGGTGGAGGCGGGGGTGGGGCTCTCCCACCACCGGGTGGTGGTGGAGGCGGGGGTGGGGCTCTCCCACCACCGGGTGGTGGCGGAGGCGGGGGAGGGGCTCTCCCACCACCGGGTGGTGGCGGAGGCGGGGGAGGGGCTCTCCCACCACCGGGTGGTGGCGGAGGCGGGGGAGGAGCTCTCCCACCACCGGGTGGTGGCGGAGGCGGGGGAGGGGCTCTCCCTCCACCTGGTGGTGGCGGCGGTGGGGGAGGCGCTCTCCCTCCACCGGGTGGTGGCGGCGGCGGGGGAGGGGCCCCATACATAGGAGGAGGTGGTGGTGGGGCAGGAGCCCCATACATAGGAGGAGGTGGTGGCGGGGGTGGAGGAGCCCCATGCATTGGTGGAGGTGGTGGTGGTGGTGGAGGAGGAGCCCCGTGCATTGGTGGAGGAGGTGGTGGTGGTGGAGGAGCCCCGTGCATTGGTGGAGGAGGTGGTGGTGGTGGAGGAGCCCTGTGCATTGGTGGAGGAGGTGGTGGTGGTGGAGGAGCCCTGTGCATTGGTGGAGGAGCCCCGTGCATTGGTGGTGGAGGTGGTGGTGGTGGAGGAGCCCCATGCATTGGTGGAGGAGGTGGTGGGGGGGGAGGAGCCCCGTGCATTGGTGGAGGCGGTGGGGGTGGGGGTGGTGATGGTGACGGAGTCCCATGAATTGGTGGANGCAAAGGTGGTGGAGGAGGCAATGGTGGAAAAGCCCCATGCATCGAAGGAGGTGGTGGTCCTAATAAAGATAGTGTTGGAGATGCACCATGCATGGGTGGGGGTGGAGGTGGTGGAGGTGGTGTTCTTTTCATTAGAGATGGTGAAGGAAATGCCTCATACATTAATGGGGGCGGGGGCGGGGGCGGGGGCGGGGGTGGACGATGCACTGAAGTAATAGGTGGGGTTGTTTGAGGTGCTAAAGGCGGGGGCGAGGAAGCACCATGAACTGAACTAATATGTGAGGGTGAGGGTGGGGGTGGGGGTGGGGGTGGAGAAGCACCATGAACTGAAGTAATAAGTGGAGGTGTTGGGGGCGGGGGCGGGGAAGCACCATGAACTGAAGTAATAGGGGAGGGTGCTGGAGAAGATAGAGTTGGTGATGCTTTATCACCATATGAAGCAGGTGCGGATGGTGGAGGTGGTGAAGCAAGTGTTTCATGCATCACAGAAGGTGGGGGAGGGGATAAAACAGGTGCTGGAGGAGTACTTACAATATTCTTTGATGTATATGGCCTAACCAGAGAGAGAGAGGAGAGAGGTGGTGGTGGGGGTGGTGGAGGTGGAGGCGGTATAGAACCAGCCACAATTGCAGTAGAAACGGAAGAATATATTTGCTCCCATGATGGTTGTGTAGAAGAATAGGGAAAAAGACTATTCTGCCTACTGAATGGAGGGGGAGGGGGAGGGGGAGGGGAAGGGGTAGTCACTGTGTTTGATGAGCTAACTAGGGGTGGTGGTGCTGAAGACACAGAAAGTGGTGGAGGAGAGTACGTTGACTCAATATGATGAAATGAAGTAGGTGGTGGAGNTGGTGGAGGAGGTATTGCATTTGCTCGGGGGGGTGATGGAAAATATGGAGATGGAGGCTTTGTGGGCAGTGGGGGAGGAGGTACTTCAAGTTGTGGATCGCAGTGTGATGGTTTTAAAGTTTCAGAGGAAGAATATGTCTCCTCTATCGACTCAACTGGAGACGATGGGCCAAGCACGAGTTCCCCAAGTGCAGAGTATGAAGGCCTTATAGAATCCACGTCATTATTCACATCTGTAGCAACTAGGGAACTGAGAGTGGCAGCAGGGGCACTGTTATATCTTGAAGGCGGATAGGAAACATGCACAGAATTCACATAGGAGCCTTTGTTAGGTGGGATCCACCTAGAAACTATATTTGGCCTTGCTTGTTTTCCAGAAAACCCTTGAGCCTCTTGTTGTTCGACTTTCTGTTCAGTTAAACCCATATCAGTGGTCGGTTTTGCACTTGAAATAGGCTGTTTCTTGGAAATCGGTATTTGCACTTTTTCAGATTCTGAACCATCAGCACTCAACTTTTTCTGCAGAGCCTTGTTTTCCAATTTCTCAGTTGTAGGATATCTACCATCATCCTTTTCTTCTATATCTTCAAATTTCTCGTATGCATCATCCACCAAACCCTGGGCTTCCACATGGGTCAGGACATTAGCAGCAACCATGAAGGAATTTGAATTCATATCCCCATCATCTACACCAATGTCCTTAACTACATTAAGATCAGGATATATATTTTCATCCAGTTTGTACCTCACATCATCCACAGTAATGTCCTTCACTGCATCAAAATCTGGTTTCTTATCATGCCTAAGATGATTTCCATCGTCAGATGCACAATCTTGGAATGCATGAGGATCCAAGTCCTCCTTCAAATCTTCGTTACGGTTTACATGCTTGACCACTTGAGGATCATTGGACCCCTTTGCTTCCTGCCCATCCATTGTATTACTGAAGATCTCTTCAACCTCAAAAAATTCTTCAGGAGAAGCAGCTCCAGTTTCATTACCATCTTCATCGTCTAAGGCTGTGGTGAGACTGGGGACAACAGCATCAGCATCCAAAAAGAGTGCCTGACATAAATGCAATCATGCATTAACTTTTATAACTCCACAAAGTGCATTCACAAAAGAAGACCAAAAACTTACCTCAACTCTGAAGTCCTTAGGAAATTGGTCCCTTGCATCCCATAAAACATCAACTTCATCACGGTTCAGCATCATAATGTTTGATCTTACGAATGCTGTGTGAAACATAACTCTAAACATCATCTCCTCATGCACTAGATCTTCATCCAAATGGATGCATTCAAGAACTACGTCTCCTTGGACATGGCAATGAATATCAATTTTCACCAGCATACACTCTGCCTGTGGCAACAATTAATAAGAAAACTTAAATGTTGGTTAATTTCAGCTTTCAGGTTTGTGTTGCTGAGTCATTACCTGTAGGTAGTTGCGGATATGTTTTCTTTTGATTGATGTTGAAAATAAAAGCCTTGAAGTTCTATTTGCTGGTGTTGAGGGGTCTTGACCATAAACACGCACAACAGGCCTACATCCCTTTCCCCCGTCAAAAAGAGGTAGAACTCTAAGTATTAAACAATCCAAAACTAGAGGTGTATCCGATGGAGGCCAATCGGAACCTAAATTTCTCCTGGAAATGTATTGAAGATATCTCAGATGGGAAGGCTGAGGATTTAAAGGAGACAAAAGATGGAGAAGTTCCTTAGGAGCTTGCTTGTAGACCATTTCAAGGGTCTTCTGCTCCCCACTGTATTGTTTTCTATACAAGAGAAGACCAGCTAGCATGAATGCAAGAACAGGCCATCCTCCTCTTTCACAGTGCATCAATAGAACATTCTGTTGACCCTCCACCGACAACCAACTTTCACTAGATCGAAGGAAGTGGTGAACCATCTCCAATGACAGTAAAGGACACCCCTCATATTGCCGAGGATAGTCCATAACTGTCATGTCATACTGAGTCAGTACATCAGAAATTTGACTACGCCTATCACCTTCTCTGAAGTTGAAAACCATGAAAGAGGCATCGGGAAAGTGGCCCTGCAACTGTGCTACAATGCCATCCAAGTAGACCTTATACTCTTCTTCTTCCAACACTTCCGTGGAGAAGCAGCAATCAAACACTGAGCAGAAACAATAAGCATGATAAGTTACCATGTGCCACCACTAAAAACCATCTTCCAAGTTGCTAGCAAAATATCCATATTGATCTTATTGAGCTCTGTGCTTGCCATTCATTCAGCTCCTCTAGGTCATTTTCATTTATTATATCTTATATTTAGTTTCTCTTTCAACTCATATCCCCAAAAAAAAAAAAAAACTATTCTCATTACGACCGTACATTTCTCTAGCACTATGCACCATTTAGTTGAAGTCTAGAATCTTCCCTTCTTAAGTAGAAATTATTATAGATTCTTAATCTAAATAAAGTATTTGATATATCAGTAGGTCCTGCGGCAACTGAACTCATATTCTACAAGAATCACACAGGCAATGCATAAAGAGCAGTGAGTGCAAGCAAGAGAGAAAGCATGTCAACGGAGATGGGAGGCTGGTTCCCATCACATTCCACAACTACTCAGGTCGAAAAGCATAGAAGTAGGGGGCAAAAATAAAATCCAGAAGGAATGAAGTACACAAGATGGTCTGCATCAGAAGTATTGCATTACGAAGCAGCTAAACCTAAACTTCAAAGGTTTATTGCGGCACTGTCCAAATTATCATTTAACGTCGAGCATTGAGCTCGCATAAAGCTGGAAAAATAAGTAATCACCTAACTACGCACATTAAACAAATGATGCTGGGAGTTTAACATTCTGCAATAGCTTAGCATTTGGGGGAGCTGCATGAAAGGAACAAACAGCACGAAATTAAGAGAAAAATAAAATCGTAAGGAAGCTTACCATAGACTCTCTCGGAGATTTCAAGAAGCCGATCCGGCGGCTTCCTGTAAAAGAACCTTCTGAACAGCGCCATCGGATGGCGCTGTTTCTTCCTCGATCTGATCCAAACCCGTAGCTGAACAAAACACTAACCAGATCAAAATTGACCACCGAAGCAGAACAGATCTTAGAATTAAAAGGTCCGATCACAGCCAAAACCTTGGAAATTCAGCACAAAATCCACCAATTCAAAACCAGAGAGAAAATTAGCGAGCTAAAAAGACAAAATCCCGAGTACTTCCCGGCAATTAAACCCCAGTCGTGGGGGAAAAAGTCCAAATGAAAAAGAAAAACAATCAAAGCCGGTCTACGAAAAATCGAAATAATGAAAATCAAAAAAAAAAAAAAATGGAAGAAGAGAAGTTGAAGAATTAGGAATGAGAATTGAAAGAGTAGAGAGAAGTGACAGTAGGGCAGAGAGAGAGAGAGAGAGAGATTGAAGGGAGAAAGAACAAAAAACCCGGGTAAAAATAAAAAATAAAAAATGGCGAGAGAAATGGGAAGGACTCGGAATTATGAATTCAGAAAGAATTACAGAGAGAGAAAGAGGCGCGTAGACTAGACTGGATAAAACACCCGGATACTTCTCCTCCTCCCTTCTCTCACAGCTAACCCCTTCAACGTCCACTACGACAATTTTTGCTTTTACCGCTGCCACTCCACCTATCTCCCCGCCCTACGTGGCTCCCACGTGGCACCTCTGTAACACTTACCCCTCCACCCTCCTCCACCTTCTTTTTTTTTTAAATAAATTAATTTTAGTTTCTTACTGTTTTCAAATGGAAGATTAAATAATTTACCTTATTTTTGTATTTTATTTCGTGTTTGTATAGTTACTGTCCGGGGGATTTATACTTTGTCAATTAATATTATAATATTAGGAACCTCTCTTCTAATTTATATTAAAGAAAAAACCTCGTTTTTTTAATCACAAAATTAAATTTTAACCATATACCAATCAAAATAAAACAATATATTCTGTTTTACTTTTTAGGTAATAACTTTTTTTTAATTACTTTTTTCAATATTCTAAAGCTTCAAATTATTTTTTTATAAAAAAAATTGTGGTCTCAAAATGGACTTAACTAAGAATTATAACATTTTTCAATAAATATAAAACTATAATAAAATAATTGAAACGAGACAAAGATAATAAAAAAAAAAAACATACCCCTAAAAATAAAAATAATTATATCATAGTAATAATAATGCGGTGTGTAATTTTATCATAGTAATTACACACGACTTCAAATGTGTACTTAAAATTTGGATCTAATGATTATTTTAGGCATAAAATTTAATCAGTATATAATTTTTTTTTTTTTTTTTTTTTTTTTTTTTTTTTTTTTTTTTTTTTTTTTTTTGTCGCTTCTGTATTTACAAACAAAACTGACATTTAAAATAATATTATTACAACATGAATTTAAATATTTTAGAATATATTTCATAATTTTGTCATTAAAAAAATAAAATAAATTAAATTTGAAGATGAGAAATTTAATTTTATGAAGTTAAAGTAAGTTATTAATTTTTTAAAAACTATTTTGAAAAATGTGAATGTAATTAAAATCTATGAAGCACAAAAATTGAAAAGAGAAAACAGTAGCTATACTAAATATTTATAAATCAATTAAATAGGGTACTAAATATATTGGGAAAGTTGAAAGACTTTATTTATTATTTTTACTTTTTTACAAAAGAAATGCAACAAAAGTATTAAAGGAAGTATGTATGGAATTATTAGGATTTTAAGTAGAAATAAATAAATGAATTGCCTTTCACGTGCGAGGTCGTGTGAACACATCGTGCTAAGATAATTGTCAATTGTCAGTCGACCATTTAAAAATAATAATAAATAAATAAATAAACACCCACGTGCCTATCACGTGTCGTGCACTATTGGAAAGGGAAAGAGAAAGGAGAAGTGGGTCCTGCTGTAATCGACGTGGCATCCGTTCAGCGTCAAAATACGAAAGTCAATATGATGGACGGCTGGATGAGAAAAGTTAGTGATCAGGTACGGTGGGGACCATGGAATGATTGAGTCCATCCAGTCCGTGCATGGCATGTGAGGACCCCTGCGTCGTCATAATCATCCCAATGTGGTTCATCCGAATAAATTGATTTTAAAACTAGAAGAATAAATATACATGTTTTTCTTAAAAAAAATAAAATAATAAATACCAAATGTGGAATATAAATATAAACAAATACTAGCTCTACTTATATATTTGTTTTGTTTTATTACTTTTTATTTTAAAATGTTTTAAAAATTAAAAAAAAAAAAAGAAAAAGAGTAGGATTCATAAATTTAAATCTTTGAAAGAGCTTATATGTATTATTTAAGTAAAATGAAAAGCAAAAAAGAATTAAAAAAAGTAAACGACATAAACAATTTTTTTATTAAACGAGTTGAGATAAGAGAACAAACCTCTCTACACAAATGCATTCTAAAATGGCGAGAGAAAACTCGTGAACGATAATATCTGCTAGCAATGAATTTGATCTATTACAAATGATATCAGAGTCAGATATTGGGTAATATACTAGCAAAGACAATGAGCCCCAAAGTGGGGTGGACTGTGAGATCCCATATTGGTGTGTAAACATTTTTACAATAACGTGAAAATCTCTCTCTAATAGATATGTTTTAGAACGTAAAACGCATGAGAAAAAGCCAAAAAAACCCATGAAAGATAATATATGCAGGCGGACTTGAAAAGCACAAAAAAGGACAAATAATTTAATTTCACGTATATATTTTAAGAGGGAGCTGGGAGGTCCATTTTGGGGGGCTAACATTGCAAGATAAAGGAAGGTGTAAGAAGTTCGTAAAGAAACAGAGCTATAAATATCTTATAATTTTTTTGCCGCCAATTATTCCTTTCAAAATTGTCAGAAAATTGGGTTCTGAAAGCTGCAATTTGTCTTTACGAAAGCGTCAAGAATAAGGAATAGAGGAAATGCACCGAGCGATCTGTATATTCGTCCGACAGTCACTTCCCAACGCTTGCATCGTCTTCGTTTCTGACGATCTCCATCGCCTTGGCCTTGGGACCTCCGAATGCGAGACGGAGATTACTATTTCCTCTGATAACAAGATGCACAATCCCCCCAAATCTACCATCGCTCTCCGCGCTGCATTGTATTATCTTCGCAACTTGCTCTCTATCACATTTTGGCTACTGAATCTTCCTGGTACTTGCATTTCATTTCCATTTATCATTGTAATTCATTCGAATGTTTGGAAATCAGGACATGCATGCACTCTTTGATCTCCGTGGCCGAGAGGTTTACCTATAGTTTTCTCGCGAAATCTTCGGTTGTTTCTGCCTGCTGTTTTATTGTTTGAACGATATAATTTTCGTTCATAGTTTTGATTCTCTCCGATTATTCTTCTGTGAATGATTCTAAAATCTCGAGATCGAATTTCGTTTTAATCAGGAGAGTTCTGGAAATGGAAAATATGGGCGAGATTGATACGAAACCTATTGATTCTGTACAAGCCGGTATCTCTCTATTTGGTGCCCTCGGTGATCAGAACAAACACAAGCTCACAGCCAATAATGTAAGATGAGACAGTTTGAGAATTTATTTACAAGCGACAGAAGTACCACTATAGAATTTTGATATGGTTTATTTATTTGTTCTATTTTTAAGCTCCTACTGATTTTTTGAATGATCTTGTTTCTTTGTATTGTGTTTATCAATTTTTAAACTATCATTTATTTGGTAGTTTATTTGTATTGATCAAGTTTTATAATATATAATAGATAAAGAAATGAGATTGATTCTATTGATTCTAGGCAAGTTTGGTTCATAAAAGATTCTCTTGCCAAGCACTACAAGCGACCGTTTATCATCTTAATTTTATCAGTATTATTGTTATTACTTTTTATCATCGTGTAGGGGTATGAGAAGGAAAGAGAGGTTCAAGAGTTAGTAAAGGATTTGGCTAATTACAAGGTTCAACTTGAAGCAAAGGATGCGGCTTACATGCAGGCTCTTCTCAAGCTGGAACAACAACAGAAAGCCATTGACGAACTGTCTGAGTTGCTGAAAATTGCGGAAACTGGTAGAGATAAATACGTCAATGAATGCAGCGAAGCTAGATTTCTGCTTGGTGAACTTGAACAAAAACTGAACGAAATGACTGAACAATCCTTGGAGACCGAAAATTTCCGAGAGAAACTTCAGGCTGCCGAGAATGAGTTGAAGCTCAGACAAGAGGAGCTTCTTGGGATTGAAACAGAACTTGCTGCCTCTAGAGAATCAGAGGTCAAGGATATTATAAAAATAGAGTTGCTGGAAAATAAGGCCCACTTGGAAAAGGAGACTACTGTAGATCTCATAAGACGCATTTCAGAACTAAATGAAGCGATTCGTTTGTCAAAATTTGCTGCTAGTGAAGCAGAGAATGAGATGTCTGCTGCATTATCTGCGAAAGAGGCCGAGCTAGAGCTGGCTAAAAAGCAAGTTGTTGAGTTGCACAAGCAATTAGAAGAAATGAGCCAGCAAATAGAAATAGAGATGGAGCGGAATCAATTAAAAGAAGTGAAATTTGCAAATGAAGAAATCGAAAAATTCAAGGACGAGATCGAAACACTTAAGAATCAGTTGGAGAAGACGAAACTTGAAATGGATGAGATGAGAGAAAGGGAAGCTAATGCGGAGGTTGAGATTGCATTGCTGAAATCTGAGATTCATAAAGGAAGGTCAAAAGTTGCAGCCGCAGAAGCAGCTGAAGCCAAAGCCAAGAGTGTAACATCTGGTCTTTATCCTGCTGTTCAGGACTTGGCTGCAGAATCAGTCGAAGTGAAGGAGAACATAAAGCTAAAACAGGAACCACTCAAGGCCTATGAAGAAACTGAGAACTCTATACTTGCCAAGCCACTTGTTGAGAGTAACTCTTCAAGCATGGAAGAAGATTTGAATCCTGAAGTCAATGAAAGAAGAAATGAAAGTACCACCATGACAATTACTTTAGAGGAATATCAGTCATCGATTAAGGATATTGACTCAGCCTCTGAACTCTCCGCAGACAAAATTTCCCATCATATCGGTTCCGAGTGCACGGATGAATTGGAAAAGTTGAAGAAGGAACTAGAAGCAGCAAGCATAAGAATTGGGGAGTTCAGGTCACGTGCAGAACAGGCTGCCACCAGGGCTGAGATGGCTGAGAAAGCAAAAGATGCCGTTGAAGACCAGCTGAGAAAATGGCGAGAGCATAAACAAAGGAGAAAGGCTGCTCTTGCTGCCATGAAGGAAGTATCTGCACCACCAAAATTCAAGCCTCCCATGCATGAAGGCAGCTCCACAACGTACCAGCCTTTAGGTAAGGTTCTTAACTTGAAATTATAGGTTCTTAACGTGAAATTTTACTGTGCCTTGGCATTATATATGAGGAAAAACATATCCGGAAAGGCCAATAGTATTGTCCAGTGCACCAAAAGGAATAATACCCTATAGGATTTATTTGATAAAACTTCAATAATCAAGCCCACATGGCCCAGAATGTGGATAATGGGGCAGGACCAGTTTTCGACCCATTGGACCATTGGTTGGGTTCAAATGATAGATAAACACGTCCATGTTAAACAAAGGGAAGGTCCCGCGCCCAATCACCAAAGACTTTAATAGTGCTCGGCATCTCTATCACTTTGCTTTATGGGTTTGAATCTTGAGACCTCATGGCTTTTACAATTCAACATAACTATTTCTATTTTGACAAAGTTGTGTTCCCTTTACCACTTTCCCATTCTATCACAACAAAGTAATCAATCTACTTTTTGTTGTTATCTAGTGAATGAAGAAAACTTTCCACCTTATTGAAACTGCTTTAATTTAGGTACCAATCTTAATGTAGCTCTTTTTTTTTTCTTTTTTTTTTTTTTTTTATGGAATAACAAAGTAGGAATTAAAAATCAATCCACCAAATCTTGAGTTTCTTCTTTTGATTGGGTTCATTTTGATTAATATCAAATCAGAAAAAGGAAAAGTGAAAAATTATGTACACTAGATTTGGATTCGTATTGAATTCTCTGGCTTCGCACTCATCAAGTCTACCTTGAAATTAGTGTTTCGTTGGAATAGTTTATAGAAAATGAAGCTTAAAGTTATTAGGTAGAACTCTTAGACTGAAAATATAGTTGTGCGCATCGTAATGACACTTTTCACATATCTAGAATATATTATAGGTACACATTTGAAAAAAAAGTTGATGGTTTGATGTGTAATGAATGTATTCTTGTTTGTCGAGCTAACTCAATCATATTATTTTAGAGTATGACAAATCAATTAGCTGAATTATGCAAGGTAGATGAAACCAAATCTTTTCAAATTTCTTTTCTTTTTTTAGTTTTCTTGAATTGGGGAAAAAAACACCAACCTGCTTGGATGGTTAAACTATTTGCTTTTGGAAAAGTGAGTATGGTTTGTTGCGAACACTGATTGATAGGAAAGAGAGAAAATGGAGAAAAAAGGAGCAAATTTTATTGTCTTTTCTTTTGAAGGATATTTTTATTTTCGAAAATTAGTGGTTTGGTCAAACGACTCAATACTCAAATCTGTTTAAATCACTAATTATTATTGTGCATATTTATGTTTTTAAAAAAAAGAAAAAGTTAAATTAACAAAAATATCCTTAAAACTTTAAAAATTTTCAATAATACCTTTAAAATTTCAAAAAAGTATAACAAATACCTTTAACACGGCTCAAAAAAATTTTATTGTCAATATATAACTCAAAATCATCTATTGGTACCTCGTAGAGTATCTGCTTTTTTTATATCACTTAATGAAGATTTTGAAAACTTAAAAATGTATTTATGAGATAAAAAAAATATTAAGTGTATTTTTATTAATTAAAAGAAAAGAAAAGAAAAGGAAAAAAGTTGATTTTGAAGCTTCCATAATAATTCAGTTGTGTGCTTTCCAACTGCTACCATTTAATTTCATCATCAATTTTCATCTTCTATTTCATTAATGAAATTCACTTTAACACACAATAATATTTTTCAACACAAAATTTTAAATTATTATTATTATAATAAATAATACTAAATGGAACCTCCACGTGCAAACATAATTTTGCAATCTCAATAGTTATTCAAAAAGATCTCCACTAATTAATGGTACATCTAAAAAATTAGACTTCTTCTATTTAAATTTGATTTTTTTTTTCCTTTTTTTTCACTGCATGCATTTTGTAAATTAAAAACAATTAAAAAAAAAAAGGAAAAATTCTTATTAAATACCATAATTGTGGTTTCCAGCCTGTAATTTTATTGTAAAATAATTTTTAAAATAACTTGTAAGCAAAGGTGAATATTTCAACAACTAATTAAATAATAATAATAATAATAAAAGCCTTTAAATAAAACTTGATTTTATATTTTGCAAGTACACCCATGTACTTTTGTAATTGACATTTTTTGTCATTATGACCAAATATAAAGAGTATATTTTCGTATATATTGAATTAACAAAATGAGATTATTATTGTAATAAAAATAAAATATATATTAAAAAAGAAAAAAAGAAAAGGACGCACGTGGGGGACAATAGGTAGAGATTATTCTTGAATGGAATTGTGTGTTTGAAAAGGAAAAATTAAGATTGAGATTTGCCTTTTGTTTTGTTGTTAATTTTGAGGAGCACGACTCACCCAATAATGCTCTAAATTCACGCACACGTGATTCTCTTCCCATTTTTCTTTTTCTTTCCTTTTGAATAATCAACTCGTTTTCTCACGTTATGCGTTTAAGAGTGAGTAAGCCAAAGTAACATCATTGACGTTTTGAACTCGACTCCATCAACTATATAGGAATTGCAAGCACCATCTACATCATTCAAGACACCTTGAGCATAGTAGGCTGCCTCGAACAGAAAAAAATATCTTCAATTTGTACTTACTAGCTATTTTTGAGATCTCACGTGGATTAGAAACGGAAATGAAGCATTAAAACATGCAACACACAAAAACCAAAAAAACAAACATTCCAAAATTAGATAGGAATAAAAAATGATAAAATTTTAGCTAATTTTGATTTCTTCTCATTACAAGAAAAATGGTAATAAATTTAGAAATAGAATTTTAGTTAATTATTAATGACAATAAAGAAAGTAAATCAATGGAAGGAAAATACAATTTTGGTTACATTAATTGAAGGGTGAAGGCCTAAACCAATATTCACATTATACTCTCTACATTCACATTCACTTTAAATAGTCATCAATAAGCTAGCTCCCTTCAAATTTTATCTTTTTTACTTTTACTTTTACTTTTTTATAGAGTTCGGTAAAATATATCTTTTAACATTCATATTATTTAATAATATTTCACTCTTTAATTATGACAATAAAAAAGTATAAATTCATAAAAATTATAAACTAAATAATGAATTTTGAATTTTATGTTTATTTAGTTTAATTTTTTTAAAAGAAAATGTTTAATTAGGGTTTGAGCTAACAAAATTATCTAATAAATTTCGAATTTTTTATTTTGTGTCCAATAATCATCCAATTTTTTTTTAAAAAAAATGGTGAAATAAATTCTAAAATATTCTCTAATTTTTTTTATTTGTTTAATATAATTATTTATCCCAAAAAAAAAAAAAAAAAGAAAAGAAAAACACAATATCCACCACACCAAATTTGACAAATGGAATCCAATTTTTGACTGTCTCGCCTTTTCCTTTTTCTTTTTTCTTTTTTTTTCTCTTTTTTCCTTTAATATATATATATATCAATTTGTATGGTACGTAAGAAAGCACGGGCAATGTGATTTTAGCCTAACCCATAAATTCCACACAAAAAAAAAAAAAAAAAAAAAAAAAAAAAAAAAAAAAAAAAAAAAAAAAAGAGAGANACAACTCTTGCTTTGACCAATTGCCATCAAAGGATTTCATCCAGACAACATTGTAGACTTTGATCCCTTCCTGTTTCTTTGCCCAAATTTTATGTTTTTTTTTATTCTTTTAATATCTCTTAATTTCTTCTAATTATATATCACAATAAGTAATTAATTTAATTAAAATCATTACAAATAAAACGAAAAAAAAATTATAAGGAAGATTTAGAATTTTGATGAAAGATTCAAAGTTGCAAATAGTTGAGTCAAACACTAAATTTGCTACGAAAGCAAAAGGTCAAGCAAAGCGGCTCGCTACCGTCCCCTGCCTGTGACCCTCACCCCACTTTCCCACCAACAACCATCCAACATTAAACTAACCAAACCAAACCTCTTTCACTTCCTTTCCTTTCTTCTCTGCTGTCTCCTCCTCATCAAAACCCTCCAACATTTTTCCACAAACCATTTTTTTTTTTATTTTTTTATTTTTATTTTTTATTTTTGTAAGTTCAGTTTCAAACTTTTGTTTGGTCTTGTGCGGGCGCTGCTGCTGCGTGCGGTTTCAAAGCCAATTCGTTTACGTTTCACCATTCTCTACTTTTCTCCCCATTTCTTCCCTTTTTACTCCAAATTTAGCTTCTTCTCTTCTGCTTTCATGGCTTCTCTCTGAAAATTTCTCCAACCCATTTGCCCAAGGAACACACAGAAAAATTACAGTGTAGTATGAAGGAGAAAGACACTCATAATCATTCATGGCGTCTTCCAATTATCATTTTCTTCATCTTAATCACAGGTATTCACCACAAAATCGAATCCCTTTTGATTTTTCTCATCTGGGTGTCTAAAATTCTAAACAAGTTTTTTTTTTTTTTTTTTTTTTGTGGTTTGTGTGTGTAATTTTGCGTTGTTTACGAGGAGGGTCTGGTCGGATTCAATCATGTTCATTTGTTTTTTTTTTTTTTAGGTACAATTGTCGAGGGACAAGAATTGCAGAGAGACAGAGAAGTTTTGTTACAGTTGAAATTCTTTTTAGAAAAACACAATCCCATTAAACGAGGAAAATATTCGTTTTGGAATTTGCAGAACTCGCCTTGTTCTTGGTCTGGAATATCCTGCAATCAAATCAATTCCCAAGTGACCGGAATTGACCTTTCAAATGAAGATATTACCGGCACAATTTTTCATAATTTCTCTGCCTTTCCGGCGCTAACGGACCTCGACCTCTCTAGAAACACTCTCTCTGGGCTAATTCCCGGCGACTTGAACAACTGCAGAAATCTCCGGCTGCTGAATTTGTCGCACAACATCATCGATGACAAGTTGAACTTGTCGGGGTTGGTCAATATCGAGACTCTGGATTTGTCGGTCAACCGGATTTGGGGAGACATACGGTTGAATTTTCCGGGCATTTGCAGAAATTTGATTTTCTTTAATGTTTCCGGTAATAATTTCACTGGTCGGACGGATGACTGTTTTGACGAATGCCGGAATTTGCAGCATGTGGATTTGAGCTCCAACAGATTCAATGGTGGATTGTGGGGTGGGTTGGCGAGGACTCGTTTTTTCTCAGCGTCGGAGAATGAACTTTCCGGCGAGCTATCGCCGGCGATATTTACTGGGGTTTGTAATTTGGAGGTGTTGGACCTGTCAGAGAATAAATTTTCCGGCGGAGTTCCAGTGGAGGTTTCTAATTGTGGGAATTTGTCTTCTTTGAATCTTTGGGGGAACCAATTTTCCGGGAAAATTCCGGTGGAAATTGGAAGAATTTCGGGTTTGCAGAATTTATATCTGGGAAAGAACAATTTTTCCCGGGAAATTCCTGAATCCCTCCTAAGTTTGAACAACTTGGTGTTCCTCGATTTGAGCAAGAACAATTTCGGAGGGGACATTCAAGAAATCTTCGGTAGGTTTACACAGGTGAGATTCCTTGTTCTTCATGGGAATTCTTACACCGGAGGGATTTACTCTTCTGGGATTCTTAAGCTCCCAAGCGTTGCTCGTTTGGATTTGAGTTTCAACAACTTTTCAGGTTCATTGCCTGTAGAAATCTCTGAAATGAAGAGCTTGGAGTTCTTGATTCTTGCATATAATAAGTTCAATGGAGTGATTCCATCAGAATATGGGAACTTGCTGAATCTTCAAGCTCTTGATCTCTCATTCAACAACTTAAATGGATCAATCCCAAGTAGCTTTGGGAAATTGACTTCACTTTTGTGGCTAATGCTGGCAAACAACTCCTTGACTGGTGAAATTCCCAGGGAGCTTGGTAATTGTTCTAGCTTGTTATGGCTGAATCTTGCGAACAATAAGCTACATGGGCGCATCCCGTCCGAGCTTTCGAACATTGGAAAGAACGCCACGGCGACATTCGAAATGAATCGACAAACCGAAAAGTTCATCGCTGGATCAGGGGAGTGCTTGGCTATGAAGAGATGGATACCAGCAGACTACCCTCCTTTCAGATTTGTTTACACAATTCTTACAAGGAAGAGTTGTAGAAGCATTTGGGATAGATTGTTGAAAGGGTATGGCCTTTTCCCATTTTGCAGCAGAATTAGAACACTGCAAATCTCTGGTTATGTTCAGCTAACTGGGAATCAGTTCAGTGGTGAGATACCAAATGAGATTGGAATGATGAAGAACTTCAGTATGTTGCATTTGAGTTGCAACAATTTTAGTGGGAAGCTCCCTCCACAGTTGGGGAATCTGCCACTGGTTGTTCTAAACGTCTCGGAAAATCGTTTTTCGGGCGAGATCCCGACCGAGATTGGAGGCCTGAAGTGCTTGCAGAACCTTGATTTATCATACAACAACTTCTCTGGCATGTTCCCTAGAAGTTTCTTGAACTTGAATGAGCTTAACAAATTCAACATTTCATATAATCCTCTCATAACTGGTGAAGTCATTCCAAGTGGGCAATTCTCAACGTTTGACAAGGACTCATATCTTGGCAATCCTCTTTTGCGCCTTCCATCGTTCTTCAACATAACACCGCCGAAGTCACCTGCCAACCCAAGAATGGCAGGATCATCCAAAAGGAACTCAACGCTAATTGGGATGTTGGCTTCCTTATCATTGATCCTTGCTTTCTTAATATTTGGTGCATTTTCTCTTATAGTGTTCTCAATGGTGAGAAACTCAGATGAATCACGAGGACATCTCTTGGATGATATAAAATATATGAAAGACTTCGGCTCGAGTTCTCCCAGCTCGTCGCCGTGGTTTTCGGATTCGGTAACGGTGATTCGACTTGACAAAATGGTTTTTACGTATGCTGATATTCTAAAAGCCACAGGAAACTTTTCAGAGGATAGAGTGATTGGTAAAGGAGGATATGGAACAGTTTACAGAGGAATGTTACCTGATGGGAGGCAAGTGGCAGTGAAGAAGCTTCAGAGAGAAGGGAATGATGGTGAAAGAGAGTTCCAAGCTGAAATGAAGATTCTTACTGGAAATGGCTTCAACTGGCCGCACCCGAACCTTGTTCAACTTTACGGATGGTGTCTTGATGGGTCGGAGAAGATTTTGGTGTATGAGTACATGGAAGGAGGGAGCTTGGAAGATCTCATAGTAGACAGACTTAGACTAAACTGGCAGCGTCGCATCGATCTTGCGATCGATGTGGCACGAGCATTGGTATTTCTGCATCACGAGTGCTTTCCTTCTATTGTGCATCGTGATGTGAAGGCAAGTAATGTTCTGCTTGATAAAGACGGTCGAGGACGGGTGACAGACTTCGGGTTGGCTAGAATTATGGATGTAGGAGACAGCCATGTGAGTACCATGGTGGCTGGAACCATTGGTTACGTAGCACCCGAGTATGGACAGACATGGAAAGCTACGACAAAGGGCGACGTGTATAGTTTTGGAGTTTTGGCAATGGAATTTGCTACGGCAAGACGAGCACTGGATGGAGGGGAAGAGTGTCTAGTTGAATGGGCTAAAAGGGTGATGGGAAATGGGAGACCAGGGTTGAGTAGAGCAGTGATACCAGTGGCAGTTTTGGGGTCGGGGCTCGTCGACGGGGCGGACGAGATGTGCGAGCTGCTGAAGATTGGGGTGAGGTGCACACATGAAGCACCAGGGGCAAGACCGAACATGAAGGAAGTGCTAGCTATGTTGATCAATATCATAGGGTTAAGAGGGGGAGATGAATTCAGCCAGATGTTCTCCCCTACTCCATGCATTGATCAAGATTTTGATTGAAGAAATGTGAATAACCTTAGGTTGTTACATAGTGTTTGATAGACATAAGATAATACTGATACCTACACACTTCAATTTATTACCATTCATCTTGTAAACAAAAACATTCATCATTCACAAAATGTTGAAAGAAAAAAGAAAGAAAAAAAAAAAAAAAAGAATGAAGAAAGAATTCCTCTCTGTTTTGCCTTTTGGTTTCCTTGCAAGAATAATGAACACATCTCCTATGGCCCAAGTTGATTGAATAAAAGAGCTTTATTACATCTGGACTGGAACCAAAGTCTTTCACAAAGAATTGGTTGATGAGGCTGCCATTTGAACAACAGGGCAGAGCAGGTTTGTTGGGAAAAAGATGGCTGAAAATGAGCTCAGTTTCTGCTTTTGTTGGTTCAATTGTTTAAAGCTTGATTGCTTGGTGGTGGGCTTTCCAAACATTCAAGTAGAGACCCATGAACAAAATGCAACAAATCATTGTATTTGGCTAATAGAATGTAAAAAGTGTAGAATTTTGACTGTATTTTTTTCCGGAAAAAAATCTCGTACTAATAGAAATGTATTCCTTACGTATAAATTTATAATCAACCTCTTGATTAGCCGATGTGAGACTCCTCTCTCAACAATTCTCGAAATAGCATATTTCAGCAATAAAGTTGAAATGTTTAAATCTACATACTCTTTCGCTTACTGTATTAAAAAAAAAAAGTCTTATAGCATAGATAACCATTATACAATAGCTTTATATATATATTAGTTGGATCATTGAAACCCATAATTGATTAGATTAATGTCAGGAGTAGGAGTAGATTTGTGTGTGTATATAGTTAAATTGTGGTTATTGGATAGAAATGATGGAGAATGGATTATTTTTGCAGGAAGTTGGAGATCATGTTGCACTTAAATCAGACAGGACAAAACTACAAGTCTTGTAAGGAAGAAATAAATAAAATAAAAAATCCCAAATCTTCGATAGATTTTGGTGTCAATTCTTGATTTGCAGAAGAATATTGAAAGCCATTTCCCCAGAACTTTAATGCCTTCATTTTGTGGGCCCAACATGAGTGATGTAAACTCTCAGCTTCCACGTTTCTCACTCACAATGGCTCATACAATCATCCAATTAATTCTGATTCTTTTTTTTTTTTTTTAATGATTTCAAAAGGGAAAATAACTAATTTATTAATAAACTAATGTTAAAATTGAATTTTTGGTCCAAATTTCTTAGGAAACAAAACCTTAATTAATTTTCTTTGGGAGAATTTCTAGTACACGCCCTATCCACTAATCATTATATTAAATAAAATAGGTAATAGATAAATATTATTAGGACCTATACAACTTCAACATCTTCATCATTTATTCCATTTCAGAGTATTAAAAAAGTTTATAAATTTAAATATATGTCACAAATACTGTCAATCCTACTGATAGTGGAGCATATCAATATCGAGAGTGTTTCAAAGTTTTTTTAATTTCTACTGTAGCATTCTTGGTAGATTAATTATTCTTATAGAGAATTTATTTTATTTTATTGTATTTATACATTAAGACCTAGATCAAATATGTAAATCATTGCAGTGTTGAATCGTAGTTGTGATGTGAGGAAAAAGAAAAAAAAAATCCTAAAGTTGGGAAAAATAAATTAAAAATACGGTAATGGAATGGCATAGTGCAACAAGGACAATTTTCTTTTTTATTTTTCTTCTCACTTCATTGGTTTGTTTGGTTAAAAATCACGCTCTCTCCACAATGATATGATATTTTCCACTTTGAAAATGCCTCATTCCAATGTACATATATTCCTTTACTTATAAACACATGATCATTCTCTAAATTAGCCAATGTGTGACTCACTCCCAACAATCCTTCCCTCGAACATCAACACACAACACGTTTAATAATTAGAGTTTTTTTCTTCCTTAATTTAAAAAATCAACAATTATATACATTATGTAGTAAAATATATATTTAAAATAAAGAAGACACACAACCCACAATTAGAAGTTATGAGTAGAATCTCTAATCTTAACCGGAGGATCAAAGAGGTTTTTAAGCCTTTCCCAATTATCCTAACCTGAACTTGTACACATTGGATAGGTTAAATAACAAATAAAAAAATGTTTAATGAGTCTAGAAGCAATAATTGGTTGTCCATCTTCATCTCCACTTTCCTTTTCTGCATTGCAATCATTAACATCTAACTCTGTTCTCTACGACAATTTTTTTTTTTTCCCTTTTCCTTTTTCATTTTTCTTTTCTTCTATTTAAGCAAAATTTGAAGCTGGGAAATCAAAAAAATCAGATGCTTTAAAGCAAACTATTTGAATAGCTTTCATGGCCTGAGGCAACCCTCAGCTAGTAAGCTACTTTGGTTGCACTTCATACGGTGAGCATAAAGCCCCCCACCATCTACTTTTCCAGAATTTCCTAATCCTTTTTATAGAACTATCATTATGGCTCGTGAAACTATTGTATCAACAACAATTAGCAATGCTATGATGCCTTTTAAGAAAGGAAAAAAAATCAGAAGTTAAAAATTCAAAAATTTCAAACTCAAACGGTAGCAAATTATACTTGACTAGGGGACGAAACAACTCGACGGTAAAGGATAGGGAAATGAACAAGATTATTGACAGAGATGGAGTGTGCATTTTGATGATACTTCACTGTGTGCTAACTTACTCCTCGAGTGAGAGTTCCAAGATCTCGACCTGCTCCTGGAGCGAATAGGATGATCAGGTCAAGGAGAAGTTGTATTTAGTAACTCTAAGAAATATGATTATCCACGGTTAGTCGGTGTCACAAACTCACAAACTCCTAAGTTAGAATATATATATATATATATATATATTAACTCAAAACACTTGATAAGGTAAAGCATATTAGGTTAGAATTAAACTTGTAAATATCCTAATAGTACTTCGTGAATTAATCTCCTTTTTGAAACTCCAACTAGTTATTGTTGGCCCAGAAAAGTAAGTGGAAAAGAAGAATAAAAGAAAAGGAAACGAGAAGAACTAGAGGCCATGGTTGGGGAGATAGAAGATGATGAAATGAAAGAAAAGAATGGGTGTTTAAACAGAATTTGTCTGCTTTCCCTTGCAAACTTCCAAGATTTTCATAAATTCTCTAGACTTCAATCGCAATTTCCGGGATTTGTATTACGTGCCTCCGCCTCCAACTTCTCTCTCCACATCAACTCCTTTTCTCTTTCTCTATAACCTTTGAAGTTGAGATTAAAATTAAAAGAAAATCCCTAAAATTATAACAGTTGTGAAAAACCAATATCCTCGAGTTTAGTTACAACAGTGCCAGCGCCGTCTGCTGATCATGTCTTTCTCCTCACTCCTCTTCTTCTTCCTCCTTTCTCCCCATCTTTCCCAAATTTCGAAACAGAGATTTTTTTAAATAGATGGGAGAAGGGAATGAAAATGAAACACTTCCAATTTCGAAACAGAGATCCAAATGCCCCCAATGATCTTGAATCGCACAGAAGTCAATTCTCCAAACTCCGTAATTAAATATTTTCAACGAGTTGTACCTTCACACACCATCGTTTAACTACAAAGATGCTCATGATTAGACATTAAATAACTTGTAGAGCATTATATAAGTTCAGCAATTGTTTGGTAACATTCCTTATTTCTCCTTTTTCATTTTTCGTTCTTCAGAACATTACCAAAGAGACTTTGAGGGTTTAGAAACGCTATGAAATGCTATCAATCAAGAGGAAAACATTGCCCCACAAGTGTTTTTTTTACCCTAATTGAAGGTATCTTTTGCCTTCTTCATTTTTAGTAAAACATATTTTTCGCCCAACAAAAAGACATATAACCTAAAGTTAACTGAAAGTAATCCACTGCATATTAATAAATGAACTAGGAACTAGGATCCAAAGTCGTCACACAAGCTTGCTCAATAAGCCTAGTAATTAGTTAAGACGTGTCTTCAACGAAGGTGGCAAAGATTGGAAGCTTCCCTCTCAATTGTTGAATTCAAAAAAACAAGTCCAAAGAAGCTTCAAATTCTAAAGCTTGAATGAAGTGGGTAAGTATTTTGTGGTGTAGATAAGTGGAGAGACATGGCATGGCATGAGGTGCTGCAGCAGCAGATAGGTGATTTGAACTTTGAAGTGATGAATGGAAAGATGGAGACATGCTTTCCCACACTTCACATGCCTTAATTACTGTTTTATCTTTTTATCAAACACCTCAAGTGCACCTCCCACTATCATCTCAAATTCCCCGTCTCTCTGTCTCTGTCTCTGTCTCTCTCTCTCTCCCTAAACTGACGTCTATAAATTAATGGCCCAACCGAACTCAGAGATCACATTCATAACCACAAGCAGATAAAAACAGATCAAAGAGAGAGAGAGAAATGGAGAATCGTTCTTACGAACCTGAGAAAACCGCCAAAGACGTCTCACTGCAGGAACTCAGAGACATGCTCGAAGAGTTCGCTCGAGTACGAGGATGGGAACAATACCACAGCCCTAGAAACCTGCTCCTAGCACTTGTAATCAATCAAACAAAAAAAAAAAAAAAACACATTGAAATTAACAATTCGATCTCCATTTTCGACCTAAAAACATGCACAGCCAGTATAGGATAGGAAAAATCTTACATGTTGTTGTTGTTGATGATGGAATTACAATTGCTTGCAGGTTGGTGAGGTCGGAGAGCTATCGGAGATATTCCAGTGGAAGGGAGAGGTGGAGAGGGGGCTGCCAAACTGGAGCGCGGCGGAGAGAGAGCATTTGGAAGAAGAGGTGTCTGATGTGTTACTCTATTTGGTGCGTCTCGCCGATGTGTGTGGCCTTGATTTGGGCCATGCCGCTCTCTCAAAGCTCGTCAAAAATGCCAACAAGTACCCTGTCGCCGCTTTCGCGCGCGCGCTGCCATGAACTTCGCTCCCTTCTCTTTCGTCCCTTCGCTGCTTTTCTGTTTCTGTACTCGTTTCTGCTTCATATTGATATGCACGGAGATCTGTCTCAGTTTACTCATACTCATAGCGCTCTTATTCTTTAAATATTCTCGTTTTCAATTTTTCACGCAAAAATATATTTAAAATTATTATTAGTTTTCTCTCTTAAAAAAAATATGGATACAGGTTCACCTAATTCTATTTTTTTCTAACATTAAAATTATAATTAGTATTAAACTAGTTTTTTTTATAAAATTGAACTTTAAAGGATTAAATTTAATATATATTGAAAATACAGCTATTAAATTTATAGTTCTAAAATAAAATGGGACCATTGTTGGTGAATTAAAATTATATTTTAATATATATTATATATATTATGTATATACTCCAATAATACATAATAGAAATCAAGTTATCGAATTTTAAGAAAAATATATCTAATCTTAATTATATTTAAGCTAAGGAATTTGATATTTACAAGGAAAAAAAAAATACTATATTATATGTACAAAACAATAACAACCATATGACTGAGGTATAGATCATGATTTGATGTGAAGAATTCATCCATGAAGATAGAAGATAGAGAGGAATCAACCGACCTGTCGTGGTGGGACAACTTTTTTGTTTCACTAATCAAAATAACTATTCATACCTTCCCTTGCGAGTTTACGTTCATTCTTGATCGGGTACAATTTTTCTTTCTGTAGTCGTTACCTGAATGTTCACACCCCAATTGAGTTGCTTTACGACACTTCTTAGTGCCAAGTGACTTGTACATTTTTATATATTATATTTCATTTTTTCTATGTAATCAAATCTTATAAGTAATTAAAGTAGTGTGTGAAATCGTTCTACGAATAAAGACATCAATTATCATCTTAAATGTTAGATGAATCGATTTGGAATGTTCTGATGCTTCTCAGCTGTTCGACGAAATGCCCACCAGAAATTTGGTTACTTGGAATGCACTGATGATTGGTTATACTCACAATAGAAAGTTTATGGAAGCTATCAATGCTTTCAGAGGAATGCTGGCAGCTGAGACTGAACCGAGTGAAAGAACCGCGGTGGTAGTTCTATTGGCTTGTTCTCATTTGGGAGCTTTAAATCAGGGAAAGTGGATCTATGGATTTACAATATCAGAATAAAATTTGAGACCGAACGCGTTTGTGGGCACAGCACTTACTGATATGTATGCTAGATGTGGCTACAGCAGAGAAGGTCTTTGAAAAAATTGGAGAGAAAAACATCTATACATCGCATGTCTTGATTTCTGGACATGTCATGAATGGGCAAGGCGGTGCAGCTTTGCAGGCTTTTTCTATGATGTTGATGGAAATTTTCAAGCCAGACGAGGTTACCTTTCTAGGTGTTTTGTGTGCATGTTGTCACCAAGGTCTGGTCACAGATCGAGCTGGATTGTTGGAGGGAGCTCTAGAGTTGATCCAATCTACAAGCATGGAACCGAGTCTATATTGGTATGATATTGTTTACTTTAAATTTAAATTCTCATTATTTTACCTTTAATTTTCTCAAAATATCTCATAGCAACCATGTCTCTCGTTTATAATACTAACAATCTTCTCCTTAATTAGCCAATGTAATATCCTCGGTTGCTTTTACTTACTTTAGACTTGCGCATACTGTCAAAGGAAAAAATACAAGAACAATAGAATGTGCCATTCCATCGACCAAAATTACTAGAGAAAGCCTTGAACATTTGGTTGAACTGAGGCATATCTAAGTATTCAACTAAACTAGTGTTTGTTGGAGTCAACCAAATGGTGGAGCTTATTCTGGCTAGCTCTGATGCATATCCTCCTCGATCCCTTCTACAAATTGTGATTCCATTAATCTGCTTGTCTGCCGAGGTGTCCTGTTCACTTCTTGGCAATATAGCGTCACCATTTTACTGTACAAATCCATATCCATTGACTGCAGCAACAAAAAATCAGCACTTCGATACCCAAAAAAAGAAAAAAAAAAAAAAGAAACTAAACTAAACTGGTATAGTTGGCTGCACATTCATTCTGTTCATGTTAGGAGTTTATGTAGGATGCTCAACATCCAATTTTAGTCTTAACCCTCTAGACTCTTGAGTTAGAAAATTGAATCAGGCCCGACGGGTGTCTATAACTGTGAGATCCCACCTCGATTGAAACTAAACATTCTTTATAATGGGGTTGATACCTCTCCCTAATGGACGTGTTTTAAAAACTTTGAGGTAAAGTTTGAAAGGAAAAACCCAAAGAAAATAATATTTGCTAATGGTGGGCTTGAGCCATTACAAAGGGTATCAGAGCCAGTCACCGGGCTATGTGCCATCGAGGATGATAAGGCTCGAACAATGTAGTGGATTGTGAGATCTCACATCGATTGGAGAGGAGAACTAAGCCTCCTTTATAAGGGTGTGGAAACCTTTCCCTAGCATACGTGTTTTAAAAATCTCGAGGGGAAGTCCGAGAGAGAAAGCACAGGCTTAAGCCATTACAACAACCGACTATCCCAACTGTTTGGACTCTGATCAATGTGTTTCTGAAACCAACGAAACTGGTAGTTTGATCCGTTTGGTTGGTTTTTTAGGATTTTGTTGCAGATGTACATATAGTTTGTGTTGGACTTACTTGTGCCAGAAAAGTGCAGAAAGGATCGGTTGGAGGGACGAAAGCAGCGGTGGAAAGTTTAGATTTTGGCTTTGTTGATGAGATGATGGAAGGCAGTAGAGTCGGAGAACATGCAGCAGCACAAGGGAAGGAACTGGAACTGGAAGCCATTGAAGCAGTGTCAAGCAGTCCCATACGAGCTGCAAGCAGTGACACTTGAAGCTGCTGCTGCTGCTGCTGCTGCATTCCTAGAGGTACGATCATCTGTGGCACATCTGATCTAATGCTGCACATGAACTGAACTTGTGCTTTAAGTTGCTTCAAATATTGAATCGTGTCGTCCAAAAGTGAAGCTCTATCAGTCTGTAAAAGCAGAGTTTTCAGCCCTTTTTATCAGTCTGTACAAGTGAAGCTCTTGGAATATAGGATATGCTAATATGATAAGTTTATCGTTCTTAAAAACTTGTTTAGGATTTGAATGAAAGTATCATGTTTTATAGTCTCAAACTTCATTCATAATCTGGAACTGCAACAGCCCAGATCCACCGCTATCAGATATTGTCCAATTCAGACTCACCGTTAGTAGATATTGTTCTTTTTGGGCTTTCTCTTTCGGGCTTCCCCTCGAGGTTTTAAAACGTGTCTGCTAGGGAGAGGTTTCCACACCCTTATAAAAGATGTTTCATTCCCCTCCCTAACCGATTTGAGTTTAGGTTATAGTTATATACTGAGTTTTTCAAGTATCCTTAAAAAAGATATATGAATTTTGGCACCTTACTCCTATTTGGCACCAACTTTTGTAGATCTTTTAACTTCTGGTTTATCCGATCTCTTCGTCTCTACAAAAAAGGAAAAAAAGATTTCAACTCCCCAGTATTCAAATTGATTAAAATCTTCTTGTTATGTTAATTTTTTGAAGTATTTACATAAGTAAAAAGTCATTTCATAGTCATTTACTCTCTCAGACTGAGTTCGTCTAATTGAACAGCTCCCACTTGTTTTCCTCTTCGTGTTATGTTCGTCCTCCTGATTTCAACGCCACAAACAACTAAATAAACTGCCAGTGATGACCACTAAAAGTGCACCAAAATAGCACAACAAAAACAAGTTTATTAAACAAAGGAGCTTGTGAATCACCGAGCCATCATCTGGAGCTAAGTCTTCAATGGAATTTTTGGCTTTGAAGCTCCTATGAGATTCTAAAAAAGCTCCACTCATAAAAGTTTCATCTTTGCCTTCTGGGTTGGATCGTGTCCGTTTCCTCAACAGTGAACTATGGACTATGGACTCGAGGGTGTCTTCGGATTGGCCCCATGAGTGCTTTGTTGAAGCCATTTGAAGAAGCACCTCCCCATGGCCGTCCACTGCTGCTTCTTGATCTCCATTCTCCCATGTCCTCTCCACTGCTTCATACTTTGCCCTGAAATATTGCACCAATTCAACCCAAAAAGACGTCAATGGAGGGTATGAAAGCACTTTTTAAATGAGTAGTTTTAGCATAAGTACTAGAACTCAAGAAATGAGTTTGTTTCTCGCAAATGACGACCAAAAACACATAAAAACAAATAGAGAAATGAGCTTGGCTAATTCAATTAGTGCTTACATGGGGACAAGATTGTGGCTGAAAGTAGTGTTCTTGTGGGGAAAATGGACATGGGAAGATCTGCTAACATCTTCATGTTGTTGTGGTTGGTTCCATTTTGGGACTATCCACTGGTTCATGCTAAATAATATGTACTGTTTTGCTATTGACAGAAGAAGCTAGGCTATCAGGAGGTTGAGGGTGAAGCCACTCTGAGGCTCCCTTCTCTTGCTCTTGCTGCTCTGTGTGTCGTGAGCTATGTTTATAATGGTTACATGATAGAGAGATGTCACAGTATGAAACCAAGATAGCAGAAAGAATATTGTAAGGGAATTTAAGTCTCTCTCAGCTTTGGGTTCCAATCAATGGACCACTCAACTTCTTCTCAACCCTTCTTTCCCACGAGGGGGTGTTTATGCAAGGGAAAATATGTAACAGGTGGGTGCCAGCACGTGCTAATCGATATTGTCCTCGACCCTTCTCTTGTTCTCTTTGGATTTTTCTTTTTAAGCTTCCTCTCAAAGTTTTAAAACGCGTCTGTTATGGAGATGTTTCCACATCCTTATCCTCTGAGGCTCAGCGTCCTCGCTGACACTCGTTTCCCTCTCCAATCGATGTAGAACTCTCCAATCTACTTCTTTTTGGGACCCAACATCGTCGCTGGCACACTGCCTGGTGTCCACCTCCTTCAAACCTCTTCGCTGGCACACCGTTTGGTGCATGGCTCTAATACAATTAGTTACCGCCTAAGCCCACCACTAACATATCTTGTTCTCTTTAGGCGTTTTTTTATTGCCAGGAAAATGTTCAGCACTCTTGCAAATAATGTTTCGTTCCCCTCTCTAATCGAGTGGGATCTAATTATGTTGCGAGTTCCATTGTCTTTGTAAGAATAAAGTATTTTGAAGTGAAATGCTTCTTTTGTAAGCACTTATCCATTATCATCAAGGGTCGTTTTTTAATGACTGGTGGATAGACACTAACCATGGAGCCCCATCAGAACTGCACGTTGGTGCAGAACTGGCAATAAATGTTTGGTTGATGAGAGTGGAAATTGAGCAAATCAAATGCAAGCTGGTGTGAAAGAATAATGTTGGGCCTCTTCCATTCTCTTCTGCCGACAAATTGATACTCAACCGATTGCAGGATTGCGATGGAGACAGAGAAACATTCGTCACAGGGAACATACACTTTTGTGGCCACGAATCCATGCTCGCTCGTTGTAGCCCATGAAACACACAACATAAACAGCTTACCAAATGCTGTTCATGGTCGGTAAATAAAGGGTTCGGTTTTTTCACGTGGCTATTAGGGAGAGATTTTCACACCTCCACACCTTATACCATTTATAGTAGCTCGAACCCACCGCTAGCATTTATGTTCTCTTCAAGCTTTCTCTTCCAGGCTTCTTCCTCAAAGTTTTAAAACGCGTTTACTAGGCAAAAGTTTTCACATTCTTATAAGAAAAGCTTCATTCTTCTCTTCAGCCGACGTGAGATCTCACATAAACGACTAAAAGATCTGTTTGAATGAATAATACTCGATAAAAAAATTAGGTAAAAACTGGTTTTTTTCTTCTTCTGAATTTGTTATTTACTTCCATGAACAGCATTATTGCAGTGAACACAATAGCATGTGTGAGCATGTGGCCCATCATTTGTTCCATTTGAAGGAGTAGTTTTCCCCGTCGGAGCAAAAGGAAGCACTGAAATTATGTTGGGAATAGACTGTTCCATTCTTTGGTGGCTGAGAATTGCCTTGAGTTTCTAGTTTCCAACATTTTTTAGCGCTGTTATTTTCTGTCTCCAACTCGGTTTTGTTTTTTCTTAGTCGTCCTTATCTCTTTAGGACCGATGTATTATTGTGTCGTTGTAACGACATTCTCTCGAGATTGGAATTTCAAAAGAGGGCAACCTTAAAAAGGGAAACCGAACGTATCCTAGAAAACCCATGCACCAAATAAGAAGGTTTGTTTAAAAAAAAAAAAAACTATTTAATTTTATAGCATTTGTATCTATTGGTCGTTTGTGAGAATGTACGTATGGAAGCTAGAACTTAGTCAAACACTTTGGGGCTTTATGTTCATAATGATGTCATGCTTGCTTTTGGTACTCCGGAGAAACAAATCTTAATCGAACCCATTTTTGCCCAATGGATTCAATCTGCTCATGGTAAAACTTCATATGGGTTCGATGTACTTTTATCTTCAACAAGCGGCCCGGCGTTCAATGCGGGTCGAAGCATATGGTTGCCAGGTTGGTTAAATGCTGTTAATGAGAATAGTAATTCACTATTCTTAACAATAGGGCCCGGAGACTTCTTGGTTCATCATGCTATTGCTTTAGGTTTACATACAACTACATTGATCTTAGTAAAAGGTGCTTTAGATGCACGTGGTTCCAAATTAATGCCGGATAAAAAGGATTTTGGTTATAGTTTTCCTTGCGACGGTCCGGGACGAGGTGGTACTTGTGATATTTCGGCTTGGGACGCCTTTTATTTGGCCGTTTTCTGGATGTTAAATACCATTGGATGGGTTACTTTTTATTGGCACTGGAAGCACATCACATTATGGCAGGGTAACGTTTCACAGTTTAATGAATCTTCCACTTATTTGATGGGATGGTTAAGAGATTATCTATGGTTAAACTCTTCACAACTTATCAATGGATATAATCCTTTTGGTATGAATAGTTTATCAGTCTGGGCGTGGATGTTCTTATTTGGACATCTTGTTTGGGCTACTGGATTTATGTTCTTAATTTCCTGGCGCGGATATTGGCAAGAATTGATTGNTTTAGCGTGGGCTCACGAACGCACACCTTTGGCTAATTTGATTCGATGGAGAGATAAACCAGTGGCTCTTTCCATTGTGCAAGCAAGATTAGTTGGATTAGCCCACTTTTCTGTAGGTTATATATTTACTTATGCGGCTTTCTTGATTGCCTCTACATCAGGCAAATTTGGTTAATTTTGTATGTGTTGTATCCTCGAAAATCTCATTTCTTTCGATGGAGAAGGGGATCTTCTTTCTTATATTTCTNTTATGTTCATAATGATGTCATGCTTGCTTTTGGTACTCCGGAGAAACAAATCTTAATCGAACCCATTTTTGCCCAATGGATTCAATCTGCTCATGGTAAAACTTCATATGGGTTCGATGTACTTTTATCTTCAACAAGCGGCCCGACGTTCAATGCGGGTCGAAGCATATGGTTGCCAGATTGGTTAAATGCTGTTAATGAGAATAGTAATTCACTATTCTTAACAATAGGGCCCGGAGACTTCTTGGTTCATCATGCTATTGCTGAGTTTAATTGGTTGGAATAAGTAATGCAAGGTTTTTTTACCCATTTGATTTAATCCATATAAAAAATATTACAAAAAAATGTTCTTAGAGATGTCTAGCCCAGAAGTTGGGAACCCAACCTCAACTAGGGGAGGATTCCCATGTAAACAGAAAATGGAAACATTTTTTTCCATTTGATAAATGAGGTCGGAGATAAGATTATATTATTTATTTTTGTCTTTGTTTCCCCGATTAATATGAAAATAATTTTAATATTAAATTTAAATATTACTCATGAAAATATTAATTTACTAGGTAAAATACGATTTGCTAATAAATATTATATTAAAAATTAGAATTTTAAAATACTATTTTAAAGAATAATAACGTAAAAATTATACGAACCAGATTGGAACCAAAATAAATAGAGAATTTAATTGGAAATGAAATAATTGATGGGATGGAAACGGAAAGCTTACCTGTCCCAGCCCCGTCAGCATCTCTAATCGTTGTTAAAAAAGAAATAATATAGGAAAATTAAGGTGCGTATCAACAGGCGCCAACGACACGCGTGCGCATTTTTCTCCTTTGTTCCTCCTTCCGTATTTGCCCGCGCTTTTGTCACTCAAAATCCATTTCCTCCATTCTTCACCTTCGTCTTTGTTCGAACCCTAAATCAATTCACTCTCAGTGTTGCTGCATGGATATCACTGAAGAGCAACGAAAGCGGGCCGAAGCAAACCGTTTAGCTGCCATAGCCAAACGCAAAGCACTGGTTGAATCTTCTAATGGCCAACTACAACGCCAGGACCCATGGAAGCTTTTCAAATGTCGCAAGATTTCCACTGAGCTAAGTGCTGCCAGTGCAGTCCAATCTTCGAAAAGATTATCCTGTAAGAATACCCACTTGCCTGAAAGGTTTCGAGTGAGGCTGGAAATTTCCTCCCCCGACTCATTCTCGATCACGCCGGAAGCCGTGGAAGGATACTCTTACCCGGGAGAGGAGAATTGCTTCAGGAAATTGAGCGACTTTTTATTCAATGTATGAGTTTCTGGAATTTTCTTATCACCGTCTTTGTTTTGCACGTCTCGAAGATAAGAATTCAATGGAGAAACGCGATACCGTTTGGATTTTGTAGGCGTTTTTCATTTAAATTAGTATTCAACGGGGGAACTTGTGATTATAGTAGCTTTGTTTTTCTTCCTTCTTGATCGCGTGGCTTATCCGGTTTTACCCAGTTCCTCTTCTCATCTTAGAGAGGATGAATGCTAATTTTTTTTGTTTGTTAATTTTCTCCCTCCTTACAATGTTCATTCGACTTTATTTTCATTCAATTTAATTTTATATGAATATATCACCAACTTTGAAATCACTACATGTAGAATTTGAAGGTTCACATCGCAGAGCATCAAATTTGAAATCTTGAAATTTGCCCGTTTGACAATATTTGGAATATGAGCGGCAAATCTCTCTCTCGCTCCTACTCTGATTGCATATGAAGTCCGAGTTAATTACATCACATCTTTGACCAATCTGTGTTTAGAACGTTTGAGTTCTTTTAATAATTCTGACATCCGTTTGTTATACTCTCAGGTCACTCATTCTCACTACACACAAATTATAGGCGGAGGAAAGGCTTGTGTCTATAAGCTGGGGGACTATTGTCCTGTTTTGAAATGTTTAAAGAACTCCAAGGACATTGATGTTGAAGAGATACCATGGACTACATTTAATGTAGTCGAGAGACTTTCACATTCATTTACTTTAGGACGATGGATGCCGTGCAGGCCAGAGCATCTGTCAGATGAGAAGGTCGATGAACTAATGCAGAAATTACCTGATCGGTTACTCAATAGACTCTTACCTTTCCAACTTGATGGTGTAAGATTTGGCTTGCAGAGGGGTGGCCGATGTTTGATAGCTGATGAAATGGGTCTTGGGAAAACACTGCAGGTACTAAATTATATACAAATGAACTTCTGCGCTTCTTATCTACAGTTTTGTCTATTAGTTCCAGTCGATGGTGCTATTGGCATGTCCTTTTTTCTATTACATAATTATATTTGTTAAAAGTTCTTCTTGGCATGGATTGAGTATCTGGTTTCCAATTGAGTCATCCACATTTACATTCACATTTAACCAAGAAACTATTTGACAATCAAATGGAGTAGGGTTTGGCAGTTGTTTTGTGAGAATAATCGAGGTACGTGTACGCTGGCTTGAGTACTCATGGACACACAGATTTTCTCTAACAACTTTGAAAGGGATTTTGAGGGGATGTCAAACAGGTCTTCCTTGTTTACTTCTCGGTGCTGACATGCATCCTTTTACATTCTTGCTGTAACTATTTCCATTAACACCGCATGCTCACAACTGCATGTAGCACATAGCCTAATCATGATATCGATTTTGTTTATTTACGAAGCCCATCCATATATTTTATAAATTTAGTCAAGGTAGCATCTTGTGCATCTACCATCTCTGCTATCACAAAGGTAGATAAACGACCTCTGTATGCTTGATTGTCTACAGGCTATTGCAATTGCTAGCTGCCTCATGGATGAAGAGGGTTCAATGCTCGTTGTTTGCCCTGCTGTTTTACGTTTTTCTTGGGCTGAAGAACTAGAGCGTTGGCTTCCATTTTGTTTGCTTTCTGATATTCATCTTGGTATTGTACTCTTGTATATCTTTTCTTTTTTCCTTTTAAATAATTTGACACCCTTTGTTCTAACAGTACTGATCTTGTCAAGCTAGAAAAGTTCGTTTGTTGATACTCCCCCTTGTTTAATTCAAAAAGTTCAATTGATCATTATTGATATAATATAAAATATCAAAATGAGCTATATCTTTACATGAGAGATTGCTTGATGTTTTTAAAATTTAGAGTGAGATCCATGGTTGTACTTGTAGATATGCATAAGACTATTACCATCATTGCATGTTAAGAGATACATCGGTTGCGCTCAGCAGCTATAATTTCTCAGACATAGATTGAATTCAATTTCAGGTGGCATTAATATATTTAAAAATCTAATTTATAGTTTGGAATTGTCATCCAACAGTTACTATGGCTTCTGCAGTTTTCTGGAGACTGTCCAGTATACAACCTTTAGTTGCAGTTTTTTTTTTTTTTTTTACTGCACCATTAACAATTTATTTATATAGGAGGTATTCGTTGTATTTCCCTCCTTTTTGGAAGTGATGCCGCGTCTCCCTAACATTTTTTCTGATGATCCCTTCCTTTTGAATGAAAAGTTTCATGTTTCTTATAAATAAAAAATAAAAAATAAAATAAAATGCGGTCGAACCATTGGTTTTTTTATTTTCTTTAATAAGTTTTGTTTTCACATTACTAATGTTCATGTATAATGTGAATATCGTCTTTTTTTACAACTTAGAAATTTATTATTTCCAGTTTTCGGTCATCTGGACAATCCTTGCCATTTATCAAAATTCCCAAAAGTGGTGGTAATATCATATACGATGCTTCACCGTTTATGTAAGAGCATTCTTCAGCAGAAGTGGTCTTTATTGATTGTTGATGAATCTCATCACGTAAGATGTGCCAAGAAGTCATCTGAATCAGAAGAGGTAAAAGTTCATACTATATTCAGTATATTTTGATTGGATGCTATTTTTTTTCTCACTTCGGTAGAAATTTCTTTCTATTATTTGCTGGTTTATTTTGAAGTGATTCACTTGCAACAACCTAACAAAATACTGATGCAACTAATGAGGTATTTTCAGTGAAACAGATGGCTTAATCATATTAATTTTCCTATAGTGTTCAGATATGTTTCTGGAAATGTACTTATTTGAAGAATGTTTTATTCATTTATTAGTATTCCAATTATATCAAGTTAGTTCCCTTCCTTTGACTCAGCTAGGAGGATCACTTTATAGATCCATTTGTCATTAATGTTGTGATACTTTATTATTGGGCATATTCTTCTTGAAGGTGATCTTCTTGTTCCTTTTTTATCATTTCTTTGGGGCTTCTGCTTTTATTTCTGTAATGGCTATATTGTGATTTTCATGACTTTGTATTGGAGCCCTTAAAGTCCTGATCAATACCGTCAATTTGAACCACATTTCTAATGCTTTATGAAGAAATTAGGGTATAACTATATTAATCTTGCACACATTCTTCTTGAAGGAGATTTTTCCTTTTCTTCTTTTACCACTTCCTTTAAAAAAAAAAAAAAATTTAGATTGAGGATTTCTTCTCCTCTTCCAGACCTGTAGTTTTAAATTATTATTATTTTTTTAAAATTTCTAATAATTTTTTATTTTATAAAAGTAAAAGGGGGACAGATCCCTATGCTACATCATTATGATTATTTCATTATTATTCTTGCACACATTCTTCTTGAAGGTGATTTTTCCTTTTCTTCTTTTACCACTTTAAAAAAAAAAATTTAGATTGAGGATTTCTCCTCCTCTTCCAGACCTGTAGTTTTAAATTATTATTATTTTTTTAAAATTTCTAATAATTTTTTATTTTATAAAAGTAAAAGGGGGACAGATCCCTATGCTACATCATTATGATTATGTAGTTCCTTCAATCACTGTTGTGTGTTGTATAGCACCTTCACTGTAGATTTGGAAGTTACATTCTTTCGTGCCCAGAAGATTCATGCACATGGATTAATATGCGTGGCTAGAAAGAAGCAAGAGAACCTTCAAGGGTGTATAGGTGTCTTGGGCGTTGCATATTTCTTACCTGTAGTTTCTTGTTGTTTTGATTTGTAATAATTGGAGTCACTTCTTGTAATTGCCTTGTTTTGTTGTAGTGGGTTCCTTTGCCTTGAGATTTATATGTGTTTGTGTGTGGTCCTCTATTGTTTTTTTCATTTATGATATATCGTGGTTTTTAATTTAAGACAAAGGACTAATATGCTTGCATCGGGAAATGTGTTGTAACCTCTTGCTTTTTTTGCTCAGATAAAGGCAGTTCTTGATTTAGCAACAAAGGTCCAGCATATTATTCTTCTATCTGGAACTCCATCTTTATCAAGGTTGCATCGTGGATTTCTCCAAGTGAATTCTTTTATGGTCTTGTGAAAATGATGTCTTTTCTCATTCAGGATATGTCTATCATATTTTATCTTATATTTTTCCTTTTAGTTTCTATTCATTATAACATCTCACTTTTTTTCCTAGGTGATCATAGGCCATATGACATTTTTCATCAGATAGACATGCTATGGCAAGCTCTCTCAAGCCTTCACATCTTAGATATGAATTGAATGACATATTCTAATCATCTGATTATGTCAGTAGTTCATGTGCTCAATTGTGTATCTACTGTAGGCCTGGTTTGCTGGGAAAGACCAAGTATGAGTTTGCAAAAACTTACTGCGATGTCAAATTTGTTCGTACATCTCAGGGGAAAACTTTTAAGGTACTAGTTGAATTTGGAATGTTTGTTGAAGAGCATTCTATCTTCCTATTTCTCAATGTTAAGAATCTGCACGTGGTGTTGTCTAAAAATTATTGTGAATGAAGTGGGAAAGGTTCAAAAAGAAAGGAAAAACTAAAATGGTTGGTCCTTTTTGGATAATACAACATTTTTGTGAATCTTAGCCTAAGAAGTAAGAAAAACAAGAACATCAGCGATCAGAAGTATTGTTTTATATTTCAACCGTGTCCTGGCTTTTGTTTACATTGAATTTCTATGTTTCATTTTAAGGTTACAGAGTTTAAGCTTCAATGGAATTTCTGCTGCAGGACTTCTCGAAAGGCATTCGATTAGATGAGTTGAATGTGCTGCTCAAGCAAACTGTTATGGTGTGCGCTCATTCTCTCTGTTACTTATGTATGAGGACACAGACTTGTCATATTGCTGGATCATTAGTTTCTCTCAAGAATATTATCATCTTAAATTTAGGCAAATATGGAGGATGCTGGACTGTGCTTATTGGGATTGAGATTAGAAAAATTATCCATATAGTAGTAAGATGTTTAGTCAGCGACTGCAAATAAGTTGTCTTCCTTGGTAAAAGCCCTTTTTGTTTCTGCACTAGGAATTTTTTCTTTATCCATGGGAGAATTTCTATTATTTTTATATCCATTTTCTTAGATAATTTTATGCAATTAAGAGTCTTCGCTTCTGTGTGTGTTGTTTTAAAAGATAGGCCATAATTGCAGGCACCCTCTGTCAGTTTTTAATAATTACAAATTTTGAAGAAATAGGTAATTTGTTGCCTAAAACTTTTCTTTGATTTTTCATATCTAATTATCCATAATACCATATCTTTAATATAAATAAATTTATTTTTATTTCTATGTTCGCTTCATGCTTAAACCCTACAAAGCAATTGTGCTTTAAAGAACAATGGTTGTTAATTTGTTTAGCATCTCGCTTTGGAATCGTTGCACCTCTCTTGATTAGTTAATTTGTTTGTTTCCATTGTAGATAAGACGTTTGAAAGAGCATGTATTGATTCAACTACCACCCAAACGCAGGCAGATCATAAGATTGTTGTTGAAAAGTTCTGATATAGTTGGAGCAAAGGTGGCTACTAGGGTGGTGATCAATGGTGATCAGGATAGAAATGCTGCTGAAAACAATATAGACGATATTTTGGGGGAAGAGGAACCTGATGGTAAGCATGAATTATTCTTTATTTGTTGCTTTTCTTTGTCTTAATTAAGTTTGTTAATACAGAAATTATTCCTGTTGGTCATATCTGATATTCAACCTGTGTTGTTGTGAAAAAAACTGTGTTCACTAAAAGTTGTTTTTCCGGTTGAAATTTACGTGTATCAGGTATCATATTATATTTTTTTAGATCTGTGATGACATTGCTCTTCTTTTGGCTGGCTGCTGTCTGATATTTCTCTTGTCAACGATTATATAATGACAATGTTGGTGGCTTTAGTATGTAAAAATTGTTGTATGAGCTAATGAGTAACTCACTTTCATTGTACCATGGAATATAGTTTGTAGAAAGTATTTTAAAAGGATCATCATATATCACCAGGACTCGGTTGTTTTTTCTGTAGTTTGATTGTATCATAGACAAGCTGTAATTACAAAAGACTCTTTATGCTTAGTGCACCACCAAGAAGCTAAAGTTTGGGTATGACTACAAAAAAAAAAAAAAAAATAATAATAATAATAATAAATAAATATATATATATATATACATACATACATACATACATACATATATTTACATACTAAAGTGAGATGTGGAAGAGATGAAAGACTGAGCAAGAGCACCATTTCAGCTACTTTTTGGACTTCCCATCTCTTTTTTCATTGATTTTTTTCCCACGATTTTTCAGATGGTGGAGCTTGCGGAACTGGGAAACTTTCCTTTCATGAACTGGGTGTTGCAAAGCTATCTGGTTTTCGTGAATGGTTTTCTATTCATCCAATTATTTCTGAAACAGATGGTTTGATGGACTTGGATTTGAAGACCGATTCCCAAAAGATGATCATTTTTGCTCATCATCATAAAGTTCTCGATGGAGTACAGGTGAGATTCTCTCTAATTTCTTCTATGAAATTTTTGTTACTGTGAAGTTGCTCGTTTGTTATTCAGACCTTTTTCTCTTTCCAAGTTTTTGGTTGCAAATACCACAAATTGGACGATGTTTCACTAGACAGTAGAGTGCAAATTATGAAGAACTGACGATGTTGTTTATAGGAGGTCTATATTGTAAATGGAGCTTTACCATATGTTTATGCTTTTCTGAATGGAATTGATGTAGTTTCTCCAGAAGCTTTCTTTTAATTTCTTGTTTGTATGTGGTTACTTCCTCCGGAAAATGCTTTTTTTCTTCTTCTATTTTGCATAAAGATATCAGCTTCAATTAAATTCACATCTTCAATTTTTGGAGTTGCTTTACCATACGCGTAAGTTCACATTGGCAACTAGTGGCATACCAATTTTTTGCGCACAACTTGTGTCTTCGGGCTTCTATTTTTTTCTGTTTAAATCTTTCGTCATTTGATTTCCCATAGGAACTCATGTGTGAAAAGGGAATCCAGTTTGTTCGCATTGATGGCACAACTCTTGCTCGAGACAGGCAATCAGCTGTGCTGTTATTCCAGTCGTCATCCGAGGTTTGATCTTATTCTTGTGTAACCTTCACATTCATTGTTTACATTGTCGTGCTTTTCTCATATAGCCAGTGTGAAACAATTGCTGAATGTTAGAATAATTAACAAATGGGGATTGATGCAACTTTCATATAGAAATAGTTGAATTTCTTGAAAACAAGGATAAAAGAAAATAGAGTATTTCTTGAACTTGAAACTGCATTTGGTTGCAGTTGGAATCCATAAATTTGAAATCGGAAAAATTACTTTTGTCCATAAAATTTAAATACATAGAAAGTAAAATGTCTTCGCAAGAACACAAATGTTGAACTAAAGTAACTACATCCTCATATTGGCCACAATAATTTTCTCCATGCATCAGGTTAAAATTGCTATCATAGGTATTACTGCTGGTGGAGTTGGACTTGATTTCTCTTCAGCACAAAATGTTGTGTTTTTGGAATTGCCTCAGTCACCGTCGTTGATGCTTCAGGTCTGGATACTCATCCTTCTTCTTAACCTCTAAAAAATTACTTTTATCAAACCCATTTTTATATTCATGTCTTTGGCAACTGTTATTTTCGAAAAAAAGTAGGAAACCGTACATAAAATAAGCATTAGAAAGTGCTAGAAAATGGAGATAACGTATGAACCCTCTCCCGTCTCTACCTTCCTCTCTCTCTCTCTTGACCTGTCACGTTTCACCTATGAACATGTCTCTTGAGTCTCCACTAGTTCGTAAAGGAGAAGATAAACAAGTCTCCGCTCAACTACTTGAAATCTATGACTATTCATGACATGTATGTTTTGATTGACCTGAAGGCCGAGGATAGAGCTCACAGGCGAGGGCAGACCAAGGCAGTCAACATATACATTTTCTGTGCTAAGGTTTTCATTATGCTTTCAATATATGTGAATGATTTTCCCCAAGAATCATATTAACTACTCTTGCTGATTATTTTATGTTACACAGGATACGATAGATGAGTCTCATTGGCGAAAATTGAACAAGAGTTTGCGCCGCGTTACCTCAACTACTGATGGAAAATATGATGCAATTCAAGAAATAGCGGTACATTGTTATATTTTTACATAATATGATGAATCATGTTTCATATATATATTTTGAATTCAGGACATTGTTTTCTTTTCTAAACCCTTCTTTTCTCAACCTTCTCCTTGAGAAATTATAATTTCCCGCTGAGATTGGCCTCATATCATATGAATAAAGGCAACCATGTAGGAAGTGTGGTCTGTTGCGTAAGGGGCGTTGATATGATAAGGGCTCTTAGTGAACCTATGATCCAAGTGTTTTGTTAAAAGCTTCTATTAGTATGTAGCCTATCAATCTTCTTGACATTTTTATATTGAAATATTTTCACGGATGCCATCATGTGCAATTCTATTTTATTTTCTGCTTTCTTTATGTCTTTCTTTCTTGTAATCTCTCCAACATGTTTATATATGCCACTTGGACGATGTTTTCTTGACTCCCTTCTGTTATTTTGTTACCTTCAATTCAACGAAATAGTTTCATAAGTAAAAAAAAAAAAAAAAAATGAAGAAGAAAAATGGTATAGAATAACCCCTTTTCTTGTTTTTTTTTTTTCATTTATTATTTTAAGCAATCTGATCATAAGTCAAAATGTGCTATGAAATTTCATTTATGATAATGAACAGGTAGAACGTGTTTCTTATCTAGAAGCATGTGGCAGAAGTGGTACAAGTTCTGAGAGTCAGATGAACTCAGCAACATGCATTAAACTCTCCTCAAAAATGGCGAGAGCTCAAGGCCATGGCTCTTTGGAGGTTGAAGTTAATGACGAGTTGAATGGCTCTTTTAAGGTTGAAGTAAAAGATGAGTTGAATGCTAAGACTGATTATCCACCTGACCAAAATGATGACATCGACATAACAACTCAAACAGATCAAGTAGCCATTAAGGTAATTTGTCATTGAGTAAAAGGAGGAACAAGCTTCCTACTTGCATGTTTTAATTTCAAATTTTCAACACATATATTTTCAATATTCAGTTTAGCTTCTATTGCAGAGTTCGTATTTCTGAGATATTAAATATACCTTCTTAGTACAGGGTGAAATGTTGTCCGGGCAACTGAACAATGATTCTCTCTCGATGGGAAAATCAGAAGAGAATCGTACTACAGTTGACAATAGAAGTCTTGAAATTTCTTCCTGTCCTCCATTGGAAAAGCAAGGTGGAGAAAAGGATCAAGCACAGAAGGTAGAATGCTGATAGGAATTCTCAAGACACTTGTATGTCTTATCTTCACTGTAGAGTTTTAATGACTTTCAGAATGCAGGAAGAGAAGTTATGTTCTGGGACATCAAAAGTTGATAATGGTGAACCCCATCTGATCACTGAGCCTGAAAAAAGTTCCTTGAACCATGTTCATGTTCTGCGATTTGAGGTACTTCGGTTGTGTTTAATAAACTGATTTTTTTTAGATAACCTGGGTGTTCTGGCCAACAAGTGAAACTGCTCAAGTTTTTGTTCATTCATATTGATTACTCAGCTCAAAACTTCGTTGATATTTAAGCATTAAAACGCCTTTCCAAAGAAGGGGGGATGTACTCTCTTCATCAGAAGTTTCATTAAGAAAAGTTTGCTATTCTATGATGCATGGGTGCTCTCTCATCTTTGAGTATGGAAACTGTTAAACACATCTATAGTTAAATTTCAGCTTTTGTGTTAGATTGGTGAGGTCCTATGTTTGAACCCCAGTAATGTAATTTTCTCCCTAATTAATATTGATTTTCACTTGTTGGACCTTGTACAAAATTTCAATCCACTTGTGTGGGGGAGTGTTAAAGATTGATATGATTTACTTTAACCTATCGACGTAAGCTTTTAGGTTGACAGTGATTTAATGAATAATGGGAAACAAATATTGTAATAATGAAATTTTACAAAAGGAGGGGATTAAAGTCAAACCCTGGCCACGGAGATAATAATGAATATAGAAATTCTACAAAGAGGGGGAGGAAAGTCAAATCCATAGCAAGGAAGATTACAAAAAGAAAAAAAGTCGGTTCAAGATTATAATTGTTAAAGGGAGAATGAAACCATGAAATTTAGGATCAGAGTCATGGTTAACATTATCTTAAGATTCACTTGAGGCGGGCTTGGCAGAGATTGTTTAAACGCATTAATCCATAGGTTGGTGGTTCTATTCTTCTCAAACAGATCAAACTTAGCTGACAATGACATGTTGATCTATTTTTGCATTTAGAACCTTATGACAATGATTCATAGTTGATTTTTAATTCTCTTCGATGTCTCCAATATCATGTTCAGGTGGTAGATCGTTCAAATTTAACTGGAAATAGTTATATCCTCAGATAAAAAAATTAGTTTATTACCAGATTCAGCATTCCATTTAATGGTTTGACAAGAGCTGTTATATCCAACCTATTTGCTGCTTCCCTAGTTTATTCTTGCTGCATTGGATCTTGCGTTGACAACTGATAACAAAATGATCTACCTTCATTTTCAGATTAGTCAGTATACAGGAAGGGTCCACTTGTATAGATGCATTCCTGAGATAGACTTACGACCAAGGCCACTGTTTCTTAATTTTCGACCAGAAGAAGTTGAATTGATAGACTGTTCTGTTGATGACAGTGAAAAAACAGATTTCAATTTGGACGCCACACTCTACAAACTTGCTCTTCAAGAATTTCTCAGTGAATGGCGTAAGTTGAGACCCATTGAGCAAAGAAAGTTATATGGAAAGCCACTGCAACTTCCTTTGGATATTGAATTGTGCTACTTGAAGGAAAGCATCAACCACAACGCTGATGTATGTTGATTTTAATTTGAGTAAGATTTTTCCTGGGTCAAGATGTAGTTCAGTGTATGCCTACTCCCTTTCATGTAGTCTGGCTTGCTTAAATAAGCTACTCCATCTTATATTTGCAAATATGTTAGGTGTAATCATTAATTATATTTTCTTATTCTGATTATTTACTTTTATGCATCGAGTCTTTCTCCTATATAAGAAGGCTAGATATCGTACTATTGATTTTTTATCCTGTTTAAATTTAGAGTTAATTTATCATTTATATCTTTTTACAATACCTCTTACTTGTGGACTTATGATACAACGAGTATAATGAAGTGCCTAATATATAGCCCCTAATTTAATTGGTACTAAACGGTTGGGCTAGATATAAATTTGAAATTAACCAATTGGTATGGCTAATTTATCATTTATTTATTTTACAATGCCTCTTATTTGTGGACTTATGATACAATGCGAGTATAATGAGGTGCTTAATATATACCCTTGATTTAATTGGTACAAAGTGGTCATACGGCAAGATATTGTTTTTTTCTTATGTTCTATAGCTAACTAGTAAGTATGGATGCTTCAGTTCAGAATGGGATGAGTCCATCATTACTATATCAACATTTATAATTGCATCTCTCTATGCAGGGAGTGTTGAAGGGTAAGAGTTTGCGGCGGACAACACCAATCGATGACATTAGCCGACCATTACCATCTTCTGCTGTATGGAAACTGGTCCAATTGTGCTATGGCTCTGGAAAAAGAAAGAAAGAATATTCTCAGGGTTGGACTCTGACAGACGAACCTCTTTGTAAACTATGTCAAACACCATGCCAGTAAGTCCATTTCTTTATCTTTGTAAGTTGTAAATTCTTTGATCAAACATCAATTGTTTCCTCAACTTTCAGGGGCATCAATGCAAAGACACCTGAATATTTTGAAGATCTTTTCTGTAATCTTGGCTGTTATGAAGAATACCGCGTTAGGATTAGTAGCACATCCCTCCGTCGGGTGAGAATATCAATCATTCATGTTTTTCTATCAATGTTATACAGTTCGACATGTGCATGTAGTAGTGGAGTAAAATGTCGGTTGGCATGCTAATCAACTATTAGTAAGACACGTGTTTGTGCAAGTCGCATGGGTTGAGGCCTGACGACAACTTGCACAAGAACCCTTATGCTAGGTCATCTAACTGATAATAACTAATAAGATATATGAATTATTTTATAAGCTAGAGTTGAGGCTCGACAAAGATTGCACCTCAAAATAATGATATGTCGTGCGTGTCTTGAGTGTATAGTTTATAATTTACCGTTGTGTGGAATCTACTTTTCAGCTAATGAAAACTGTTATTGATGATATTGGTGCTGAAGATTCTTTTAGTGATGATTTAGTATCACTATTTCAAAAAAAAGTCACAAAAACATTCCCCATTCTCTTCCTTCATCAATTCCTAGCAATTTTTTCCCCTCTTATTGAAGCCTCTAGTCTCAAGATGCGTGAAATTCCTCCTTTCAATTCCCAAAGCATTCATTGTTGAAATTTGATTGCTCTTTTGCATTTGTGGCTTGGGTTCGGTGGTTCTTGTTTGATTTTTTGGGGCTCAGTCCAGTATCTTTGGACATTAGTCTCATTTCATTTATTCAATAAAAAGTCTGGCGTCTTTGTCAGAAAAAAAAAAAAAAAAAAGAACTAGTTTCTGTATGCCATTTCCTTTATTTTCATACGATTCTTGTTTAGCTATATCTGTTATCAAATGCTTGAACTACCAGGAACTGTTTCAAATGGAGCATGGTGTCTGCTCAACTTGTCATTTGGACTGTCATAAGCTCGTAAAGCACATAAGACCATTGTCCGTGGAGATGCGGCGCGATTATATTGAGAAAGTAGCACCTACGTTGGCAAGCCGGAAAAATTTGTAAGTCTATAGTTTCAAATTATTTGGCAGGTAAGTATGCAGTGAATAACAAAGGGTGGTTTCTATTTTCCGAGTTCTGACATTATCTCTTCATGTCTGGAAGGCTTGAAAAGATTGTTAATAATCCAACTGAGGGCAACGCGTGGCATGCTGACCACATTGTTCCTGTTTACCGAGGTGGAGGTATGGAACATTCTACCTAGAAATTTATGTATTAGATATTGTATTTACGCTTCTTTTTTAGGTTTTAAAATTATACAGCGTATGGACTAATATGGGCTAATTCCCAACATGCTCATCTCCAAGCTGTACACGAAAATATCTCAATATCAGTTCAAAGTGAGCTGAGAATTATGGATAATTATACTCATGTCTCCATAATGTAGTGGCATTTCTAGAATTGAAATGCATGCATGTCCATGTTTCAAGCCCAGGAATAATTTCAGGATGCTATAGTTTTATAATAACCAAACCATTTGAAGCACTAAATAGTTTGCATTCTCAGTTTTCTATTTGGTCGTTTTACTGGGTATATGAAATAGTGGTGACTGATTAATCTGAGTTATGTTCACCACTGAAGGTGAATGCAGGCTAGAGAATATGAGGACCTTGTGTGTGGCATGTCATTTTGATGTTACCGCTGAGCAACGTGCTGAACGAAGATTAGTTCGGCTGAAAGCTAAGAAGCGACTTAGAGACACTATCACTGATATCAAGAAAAGTGAAAATACTGAAAGGATAGATAACGATATTCAGGTTTGTGCTTGTTGTACCAGTTTTCTACGTAGTTTAGTTAACAAATTTACCTTATAAAATTAGAGGGAACCTTGTGAAAAAATAGCTAATATTCTTGAAACAAATCACAGAATCGAGTGCACGATGCGCAAGAGAATGTACTTGATGAACAGCTAATCTTAGTGAAGGTTCCTGGAAGTGCTTACTCCAAAGACGACTGCTTGGACAATAATACAGAGGGTCCCGAAGAGTCCACAGCAGCTTAGAGGTCAAAATATTTTGGTTTACATTTTTCAAACAGCAAAATAATTCTCGTCGCTCCACATTGTTGTATATCTGTCTGCCATGGCTGGGTTTTGTGTGTGTTTTACAGTCCGAATTGGCGACTCAATCCCAGCTGCAACACATGCGCCAAAGGAAGTAGCGACCAATTGCATTCTCGGACTTGACCGGCTGGAAAATATGTGCTGTATGTTGTAACCACATGCACGATCCAATTTGTTGCTCAATTCCAACCTTACCCATTGTTTGAACCTGCAAGTCAATGATGCTTGCTTGTTCCCATATTAGAATTGCAATATGTTCTTGTAACTTAGATCTATTTAATGTAATTGCTTGATTGGTCTGAATTCTGGACATTTTCTAAGTATTAGTTTCAAAGCCTTTTTAAAAGTTTATAAACGCTAGATTCTTGATTTTATTAAAAGCAATAAAAACTGTTCACAAACAATTTCTTTATCTACATATTTTTGTGCACCTGTTAAAAAATTTAACAAATGCCCATTTTCGTTCTATTCCCTGGGGGGAAGGTGGATCAAAGAAAGGCCGCTTACTTCTCTGCTGGACTGATGACGGTTTATGTAGTGGTCGGCCTTCCTACTAAGATGCCTTCTTGCTTGAAGAGCCCCTTTACTATGATGGAGTAAGCAAAAAAAAAAAACCAAAAATTGTGATTTCTGCTGACATTGCGGCTGCCTCTAATGGTTCCGTCCATTTGAGGTTTTCTAGACTCGACACCATTTGGGTTACATTCATTTGATTCATCGTTCTCTTGTATTGAATTGGATTGCACAGATGACACTGGCGGATTATTTTTGCAGGATCTCAATAACGAGAGCAGCAATGTCTATGCTTAGTTCCTGCAGAACAACGGACTTGTTCTGCCCACACCCATAACAAGCAGCAACCATGGGGTCGCTGAAGAACACAAACGGCAGGTCGCACACCTAAGAACACAAATCTCATTCGTCAATTTCATCCGAATACGAAACTAGGGATGGGATCGGTCTGGCAGTATACTAACTTTGTGGAGTATGGTAGGGCTCTTTCCCCAGCGAAGAACTTGTTGATTCTCAGGATGGAACAGAGCAAAATGGCCAAGAATGGACAAAGACTCAAGAAGCAGAAGACCAATCTGAGGATGATCAAGCAGGTTTGAAAGCTTAAAACTAAACGTAACACATAAAGGCGAAAATAAACTAAGGCAAAGAATAAAACTGAGTTCAATGGATGTGTAAAAATTACAGAGGACCAGTATCAATGGACTAGCTTAGCACCCTAAAACAAAAAAGGAATTACTAGCTAAGGTTTTTGTAGGGCAGTGGCAGGTGGCCAAGGTTTTTCTAGGGCTTTAATTTTCGCCATCAGTAAACGATCAGTGTTTGAATATTGGCTGTAAGGGAGACAGTCATCCTCGTGATGTGGCGGTGCTCCGTCGTGCCGGAACCTTTGTTCATTTCCACCGCGAGACACAATATATACCCCTTTTTCTTGAATTTTTTTGTTAATTTTTTATTTTTCCTCTTAAATTTATTAGGAGAAATAATCGATAGAATTTCGTTCTCATCCCTAAACTATTAATTATAAGTATATTTATAACCCAAAAAAAAAAAAATAATAATAAATAAAAATAAATAACCCATAAGAGAAACTTCGAAGAAAAACATGCAGTTATGTGCAAATTACATCATCAACCAGATTGGGCTTGCAATAATCAAACCATTTCACAACTGTTTTGAGCAAAGAAGAGTGGAAATTTTATGTTTCTTTTAGGAAGACACTGAGAACCAAAAGGGAAGAAGCTAAAGCCAGTCAGTCAAGCATATACCACCATCATATTTGCTGATGGCAGACCAGATGAGACCTTGCAAATTTCCAATCTACTTTCTAAGCAAGTGCCGAGCACGCCGATTAGCATTATCAACACGAACCGTGATCTCGTCCGCATCATCAAACAAGTGATCCAGAGCTTTATTTTGCCTGGAATATAATAACATAGATTCCAATCAATTTCAATAGAAATAAAAATGATTCAAGAAAGATGAGTTTTGTCTCATTAAGATTTTAAACTTGTTGTCTACCTATAAGAAATGTTTGGAACAGAGAATGAAAATGGAATTCTCCCAAAGCATAGATCAATTCTCACCCATGACTTTTATGTAACACTAGTGCCACAGAGGCTTTTGGTGGTCTAATATCCTCCTTTTATCACATCATGGGGGTTAACCGGAGATCCAATTGAACCCATTTATTAGCATTTTCGGTCCTTGTTTCTCATTTCATTTCTTTTTTAATAAAGCAAGATACGATTGTGATTTGTATTCGTTAACCGTAAAAAATTGTAGAAATGTTTGTGAAAAATGAAAAATAAGAAGCTTTTCTCTAAGAACATAACAACGCACCTGTCTAGTTCAGTTCCCATATCAACAGCCATTCCTTTAAGCTCTCCCAATATATTGCTCAAATCTGAAAGAGCATCCTCTTGTTTCACCTTTTCCACCTGGTTTACAACAAATCTCTAGTTACATATTAACAAATATGCTTAGAGGAAAGTGCTTCCAATTGAAGTGCTTTTTCTGTCAATAGACAAACCTCAACTTTCTGAAGTGAGTTGGTTGGCTCAGGATGTGGGGCGCGCGAGGACCGTGGGTTGGGTGCCCGACTTAACCCCAACCTCTCCCTTTGCTCCAAATGGTTGCCCTTGCTTATCACAGCCTGATCGCCTGCAACCAAATCAAATCAAATTTATCGATTAAAATACATTGGTTATCTACCTAATCCATCTGATTAGTGGAAAAGTTGAAACCTTCCTGGTTCTATCAGTTAGTCACGTCTAAAAACTTAATCAGATGGGCCTGTTCTTTGTTGAGGATAGTTGAGAGAATGACCATTAGTTTATAAATAAGGAATACATCTTCATTGGTATGAGTCTTTTGGAGAAGCCCAAAGAAAAGGCATGAGAGCACTTATGCTTAAAGTGGACAATATCATACTATTGTGGAGGTTCGTGATTCCTAACATTATTATCTTCTTTTAGTGAGAAAATTTGTTAATATTACCTTCAAAGATAACGGGGCCTGTTATCTGACGACCCTTCTTTGGCTTCCAAGTCTTGGAGAATATTCCTCCTAAGCTTCCTAGAAGTTTCTCACCCTGAAGTCAACACCATTAAACATTGATTAATACACAAAAGCACCCATAATTGAAGACTTAGCAATGCCACAGCAGTTTCAAAGTTACAAGTACAATTAGTTTTCTTGGTTGAAAGATAGAGAGTGCTAACAATAAAACCAAACATGAAATTGATTTTGAAGGATTAAAGGCAGGTTTCGACATGGGTTTTAATTATTTCAAAATTACTCTCGAAGATGAATCGTTCATCCCACGTACCCGACTAAGGTCGTTGTCGATATCGGCAGTAACCATGTGGGTGCGAGTGATTTGCTCACCCTGATGATGGAGGGCAACTAAGGTTTTGGTTGCATCTTCTCTCATATCTTCAGCAATCTTGAGGCAGTTGTTGACTGCGTTAGTTGTCTCCTCAGCCTTGTAAGCAGCATAATTCTCCAACTCCTCCACTGTCTGACTCTGAAGCCCACCAGAGTCCCTGAAATCATTCTTGTATCTGTTTCTTGATGACCATGAATATGAAGAATGTGAAGAAGAATCGGTCTCTTTCTCGAGATGATCATCGAAAAGATTGGAGATAGGATTAGGTGCTACAGTTGCCTGATGTGAAGAGGTGATTCTTGAGGACTTGTGTTTTTGCCTCTTGTCTGAATTATCATTGGAATCAATTGGTTGCGAAGTGGAACGAGCAGGATAAGCAGGTTGGGATGAGCCGTGCCTAGCAAAACGTATGGGGGATTTCCTGAAGTGTGACATTTCTGGAAATGTAAACGCAGAATTCAGTTGTGGTTTTGAAGGATTCGATGAAAAAGAAGAATCCAAATTACACAAATCAGCATAAGAACTCATGGCAATTAATCAAACAGTTGGCGATCAAGTTAGTCAGGCAAATACAACATAAACAGGGTACCATATTTCCACAGGAATCATGGCATTTAATCAAACAGTTTGCAATCGAAAACACAGTTTCTGGCGAAATTTATCCATAAACCAAACTCATGCCTGAGACAAATCAATAATGGAACTAGAATTACCCCATTTCTTTACATTTCGCTCAATTGTCTCAGAAACCCAGTACGCATAGGTGAAGTGGTGAAATCATCCGTTCGAAAATCGCATAAAATTTGGCCAAAAATAGACTAAGAATCAACGCAAAAACAGCGTCGAGTGTTCAGCTTCTATAGAAAGCGAGCGGGACTTCGCCGATTACAAGAAAAAATTCAGAGAAACCCACAAGCATTCAGAAATCAAGAGAAAACCCAGATAGAATCAGAGAGAAAGGGAGTTCAGGTACCTTCAGCTTGCAAGAACTTCGACGATCAAGAGAAAAATTGATGAATCAGCGAAGACTTATGGAGGGTTTTGAAGGAAAGAAGGGAATGGAAAGAGGGAAAGAGTCAAAGGCAGACCTGGGCCAAAAGGATCAGCCGGGATTGGAACAACTTGGGGATTAAGAAGTGTTTGAGAAAATGACTATGAAAAATGGCGTGAAAGTAGAGGAACGCTTCGAATCAATAAACAAATCTAACGAATCCAATAAAATTTTAAGATTCCAACATACTTCCCAGAAATGGCCGTTTCTTCATTCCATTTCCCGCCATTGTTGAACCATTCATGATTAAGTCGAATGTGAGGTTTTTTTTAACATAAATATCATGTGATTCATATCAAATCCCGTCAAATATGTATTGACATGATTGAAGGTAAACAAAGCACAAATTTCAGTGGAATTTAAAATCGATTAAATTACAAAAGTTGACTTGTTCAAACAAAATGAAAGTCAAACAAGAAAAAAAGTCAGCCAACGTGAAGAAACATATATATTTTTTTCAAAAAAATCCTCCATTATCCAGTTGGTGGCAAATAAGACTTCTGGCAAGTTGGGCAGCTTAGGGTTTTAGGAATATATAAAGGACGACAATTTTGAATGCCCCAAACGTGTACCCAAATAAGAATATGAAAGTAAACTACCTAAAATTCAACCCACTTCATAAAATATACAAATATAATTTACCCACTTGAAAAAATTCTAACTTTATTAATATATTCACATAGTTCTTATTATAATTCATTTGTATCAAGAATTTAGATTCGAGCGTAACGATCCAATAATCCGGGAGCTTGATTTGAACAAAGTTTACAGTTTTAGACTGTATATTTACAAAACTTTCATAAGCTTAAGAAGCTGATTGGTGAAATATTAAGTTTGAGGGTATAATCATCTAGAAGATAGAGTGGAAGGAGATATATAATCGATAGATCAAGTTTCACCGAATATGATTTCTTAAGGAATTAGAGACTTGGTCATAATTTCCAAGTAGCATGATCTATGCTTTAGTTTACAACTGCAAAATCACTGTCTGTAATGAGAAATCTATGATATCCCTCCGCCCCCTACCGACGATTTAGCTCCACAACTCGGAGTAGAAGAATACACAGCACAGAGAAGAACATATGGGAACATCAGACAACAAATACACAGTGATTTGGTCGCGGGAACGGAATGGATTTTTCCGACGAGACTAGTTAGGAAATGCAGTTACTAAAGGAGGAACTAGCATTGACATTCCAGAAACAGCTTGTTTCTTCATCATGGAAGCATGTTTCTGGCCAGACAGATGAGAATCAAACACCGTCTGGCTATTGCAGACCACATTGCAAATGCTGCAGGTTCTAACAGAATCTGCAGCCGTACCACTTTCCACAATCTTGCGTTTCTTCGTCTCTAGATCTTCTGGTGTTTGAGCTGCTGAACTCTTCTGTGTTTTCTGTATATCATCACTACTTGGGATGTTGGTAGATGGGTTTTCCGTTGGCCCGATAATTGGCTCTGTTGCCGATTGCAGAGCGTTCGAAGCACCTGCATCACTACATCCCTTTTCTGCTTTTTCTTTGTTCTTCAAGTGTTTCTTTCCTGATAGGTGCTTGGCATAGATTTCATTGCTGTTACAGCTGATCTTGCAAACCTCACACCAGGCAAACTGAATGACCTTATTCTTTTTCGGTTTCTTCTTCGAGCTGCCATCATATTGAGACCGGATTGCAGCAGCATAGGGATTTTGGGATGTTAAGACAGCCTATTCAGCAGGAAAGTTGAAGTTTTAATAAAGAAATATATGACCAGAAAGCAACAGCTCTAACTTTGTAGCCAATCCCACCAAAGCTCATGGTTTTCACTTGACAATGACTAGAAGAATAGCAGCAGCTTCTGATTGTATAGCATATTAGATTTGTGATCAGTAGAGTACCATGCACCAAACAACTACGTATTCTTGATCACTTAAGGAAGCACCCATCATCACTAAGCTGACTCGATGTACAGAGGACCAATGTTTCACAACTAAGACCCCTAATTGAAGACACCTTTCAACTACAATGATGAAAGGGATGTAAAAGAAGTGTCCTATACATATGCCAAGGTGGTGAATAATAGCCAGAAAGACAAATAGATTGAAATAAGAACAAAAACTAAAATTAAACAACACAACCACCTTGTGCCATTCAACATATGGATCTATTTTTACATATGGCAAAACGACTTTCAACGATACCCATCGCCCTTGCTTTTCCAAATACTTTTCTGAATCCCTAGTTTTGATATACTAACGGGTATCCTATCAATAATTATCTAGTAGAAGACAATATTATAGATCTGAAAAAATAACCCTGGATAGAAAGTTGTTTGATTGAAGAATACTGCATTTTTGTCTAAAAAATAAGGATCACAAAAGAAACAAAGCAAACCTTCCAATAACCCCATGGAAATGGACAATGATTTCTATTTCATGCTTTTTTTACCACTAGATAATGCATTCATATTTATATTCAAAGGATAAATAAAAGTACACAGGTATGAATGAAATAAACTTCAAGAAAAAGCAAATGATGACCAGAGTACCACAGTTCATACTAGCCGAAAACACCAGTGTAACTCACCTGAGCTGCGTGCTTTTTCCCACTCAGATGTTTATCAAAAACCTCTTGACTATTGCAAACAACGTTGCATACAGTACAAACCCTCGCAGAATCAGCTTTCGTACTGCTATCTGTAAGTTTTCGCTTCTTTGTATTTAGACCTTTAATAGCAGCAGGCACATCCGGAGCCCCCTGTGCCACTTGACCACTGACACTGCCCGTTTGGTTTAGCATATATATGTTCCTATCAGAAGAAGTACTTCCCGTCAAGGAACTGTTTTGTGCTTCCAAATTCTTCTTATGTTTCTTCCCCATTACATGTTTATCAAAAACATCTTTACTGTTGCAGTTAATTTTGCAAACTTCACATCGCACAGGCTGGGTGAACTTGGATTTCACATGTTTCGTCCTAGTTGCGTTGTGTGCCAAGGATTGAGTTGCCCAATTGCCTTCCAGTAAAGAATTAGAACTCGTGGAAGCTATCTGATTCTCAAGCAAAGATATGAGTGCCTACACAAAAAGACAATAAAAAAAAAAATTTAAAAATCATCGACATGAACTTCTGAGAAGTCTTGATGCATAGGATGATTGTAATATAAAGCCATCACTCACATAAAATTTGTTGTGAGAAAAAAGTTATCTCCATTCATGCAATTGAGCTTATAGTAGACGCAAAAATAAGATCCATCATCACTTATGTTATGTTTAAGAATAATTTTTTGAACTCAAACAACGTGGGGATGGAAAAATTGAACATATTACCATAGGACAGATGTCTAAGTCATGACCAAGCTCAATTTAGCTTTTGACTCTGACCCAAAAGAACTTAAGAAAATTTTCAAGCAATAGAGTTTAGATGATATGCATAAATAAGATACATCATCACATAGACTAGGCTTGAAAAGACATTGAATTGGTATGGCCAAAATCACTTTTATCAACACGAAAAAGCACTTTTCACCCTAAATTTTCAGAAGTACTTCGGAAAAAAGATATCAAAAGCATCCACTTAGTATGTAAAATGAAACATCAAAATGATTTAGTATCACACACTTTCTTACTAACAAAGCTTATTTTAAAAGGAATCCATGGCGTGGGGATGGGGGAACCCAGTTCATACGGCAGAACAATTCAGTGTCTTGTGCGCGCAAATTTCCCACTAAGAACACAAGAATCAATAACAGAGACAAAAGGACCTCAGCCTCCACAAACCCTGAAACAATCCAAACTAAATAGAAGATAGACCACCAAACACAAGGAAATTGACACGTAGAATATTGAAACAGATAAATAAGGAAAAAGAAAAAAAGAACACTCACAAATCCAGCGGGGTCAGACTGCGGAACGACCCAATTATGAGAAGCAACAGTTGGGTCAGCATAAAATTGCGGTTGGCCCTCCAATCCAACATAGGTCGAGGTTAATATGGCGGAATTGGAATAAGGTTCGGTGCCGGGAGGGTGCAGGACCGGCTCGGAAGCGACTCCGGGGGGTAAAACAGGCTGAGGAAAATGAGCGAAAGAAGAAGGATTACCATTCACAATGTGAGGCTGAGGAGGGAAATAGAAAGGCACGGAAGAAGAAGAAGAAGAGGAAGGAGGAGGAGGAGGAGGAGGGTGCTGCTGCTGATGGAACATCAGGACGGAGGAATAGAAGGAAAACGAAGCAGAAATTCAGTTTAGGATCAGAATTAGAACTCCCAACTTCTGATTCTCAAGTCTCTCCAACACGGTGGAGATTGCGATGGAACTCGTCGCCTCGCCTCGCGCCGGGAAGATTTTGCATAGTGTTCGTGGATCGTGGACTACGAAACCGATAACACAAAGGGCTCAGCTCACCAAATTCTTGGGCCTCCCGCCATTACTTCCCTTGGGCTTAAACAATCGCTTCGAATTACACGACTTCGACGCCCAATCGGAATCACCCTCTCGTCCATTTTTATTTTAATTTTTTTTATTTCAATAAATTAATAACATAATAAAAACCTTATTAACTTTTTCATGTCATTAAAAAATTAAATATTGATTTTTTCCCCAAAATACCCATGTTATATAATAGAATATAACATCCTCGTAACTAAATAATGCAAAATAAACTCCATAAATTTTATTAATTTTTTTATTTCTCCTGGACAATCACAATACAATAAACACTATAAAACAAAAATAGTGAGATATGCTCGTTGATCTCAAATTGGATATCAAGTAAAATTAGGGAAAATAAATAGTGGAAAATGGTAAACTCCCTTTTCAATTTTAATTTTAATTTTAATCGAATAAATTTATGAAATTTTAATTTTGTGTTTAATGTTATAACTGAATCACCATTTCATCAGAAGATCGAACAAGGCTGATTTCTGCATCTGAATATATAAAGAAAGACCCTCAAAGAGCTCTACGCTCTACACTCAAAAGGAGCATGTCATCAACGTGGAGTGAGTTCAAGATCAAAGAAAGCCATAGCATCTCTTACTTTTTGCCCTGCCTTGAGGGCTTATGGGTTCGTGGGCACAGTTGAACACGGCTCGTATTCAAATACAAGCAGAGTAACATAGGGTCCTAACATATTCAAAATTTGTTGTCTAATGGAAGCTTAAGCTTTCAATTTTGTGGGTGAGTTCTAAAAGATATTAAATAATGCAAATACTTATAAGACAAAATTGAAATTTGAAGTATCAGATAAGCACAAACTTAAATGTTGAATTATAATTAGACCCAACGCATATAACAAGAAGTTGATGTGACATCTATTAAATTGAATACGTCTCGACTAAGTTAAAAGGGTTAAATTTATAGGTTAATAGGAAATTATTCTTGTAGAGTGGGAGTTCCATCTCTCTAAAAAAGATTAAAATGGGGCATTTAGTAGAGTATAGTATATGATATTAATGGCTAACACCACTTGCATTTGTACAGAAAGTGAGATGGGTTTATGATGTTTTGGGTAGGTGACTAAACAACCACTTCGAGCTCACATGCCGTCTTAAATCTTGCTTTTAATCCTCTTCATCACTTTCTTATACCAATCCCATTTTTCAAGGCATCACTCATTTCTATTTGATGCCAAGATAAAATAATGAGATCAGAGACCCAATTACCTTTTTTATTATACCACAAGAACAAGAAGAACAGGAAGAACAGGAAGAACAGGAAGAACAAGAACAAGATCTTCAACCAAAATGAAAAGAATTAATGAAATGAAATGATACCCAGAAAGTATTGATCACTATACAATCTCTTAAGTCTCTCTCAATTTAGATATGAAATCCCACATTCACAAGAGCCTCGTGCTTGTGTTCATTAGCTGCAGCCCACCATGGGTGCTTTAATGATGCTAAATTGTGGTTCTTGTTATCTATTTCGACTGGTTCAGGAGGAAGATTCAGGTCCAAAAACCTCCTGATTTCTGGGACTTGTTTTTGGATTTGAATTGTTGCTCTGTTTTTAGCCTCTGATCCACTGATCAAATGAGATCTTTTATGCCCACCAAGTGCTTGACCTGATGCGAACACTTTCTCGCAAATTGGGCACTTGTGTTTGCTGCTCTTTTTTGGAATCTGATAACCCATTTCGCCATTGTTGAGGCCTTTCGAAAGCTTGCTTTCGGCTGTTGGGTATGCAGAAATCGCCATTTCTGCACTGCTCTCGCTGTCAATTTCTTCTTCTTCGTCTTCCATGGCTGACTCAACGAAACAACCCTTTAGCTTCTTGTGGCTTGCTCTATGCCCACCAAGTGCTTGATATGAGTGGAAGATCTTATTGCAAATATCACACTCAAATTTGCTTCTCTTTTTGGGTTTCTTGCAGATTTTTGAATCCCAAAACTCTGCTAATGTCTTATTTCCGGATTTTGCGATCATATCAGAGCTGAATCTAGCTTGGTTTTGGTCATTTTTTTGGGGGAAAGATTTAGATCCACTTCTTTGATCTATCATCTTTCCCTTGTTCATAAACGCAGAAGAACTTTGCTCTGGTTTCTTCACTTCAGACTCCATTTTCTTCACCTTGAGTTTATTGGAAACAGAGGTTTTGCTCTCAACGGCAGATGGGGTATCAAGAAACTTTGAATTGTTATCTGAGGACTCAACTGGAGAATTGAAACCAACCCACTTCCCCACGTCCATGGAAAGCAACATCAAGGAGATGGCAACTTCTTGTTCTTGCTGGATTTCAAAAACAGAGGAATCAGTGGCAAAAGAGAAGGAAGTTATTGAATTTTCCGTGCCCATTTGGGCTGTTCTTCTTCTTCTTGATCTCTTTCTCTTGTTTTTAGGAGCTTCAGTTTCATTATCAGATTGGATATCCATCACCAGCTTCTGTTTAGCATCAGTGATATGGGAATCTGGTTCTTCCAGCTCTTCACTACTGGAAACAACTCTTTCAGAATGGCATTTCATGTGACCAAACAGAGCCTTCCATGATTGAAACCCTTTACCACATTCCCTGCAGAACTTGTCTTGGAGTGAAGATTCTTCACTTAAAAACTCAAGTTTCTGAGTCTTTTTGGGATTCTTTCTAAGACCATAACCAAACCCAGCTAGATTTCCACCTTCCATATCAACCTCCTCCTCCTCCATGTTTGATACGCTTCCAGCACTGAAATCAGCAAATTGAAGGCTTGTTCTGCTATGTTTCTCATCAGAATCAACTAAGTTATTGGTCAAATGAGACCTCATATGCCCTCCCAAGGATCTCCCACAAGCAAAGCTCTTATTACAGAGCTTGCAAACATGTCTTGATGCTAGATTAGCTTCCATTTACAAGAAACAAAATCAATCCAAGAGCTCGAATTGATGCGGCAGTTCCTGATCTCTCAACACTAAAAACAAGATCCAATGAAAACAGAAAAACAAACAGAACCCAGATCATAGAAAATCCTAGCTGAAACTGGAACAGATCAATGAACCCACCTCAGAAATTGAAGAATTGAGGAGCAAGAACAAGATCCGAAGCATGAAAAGTGGAAAAGAAGAAGACCCAGTAAACATCTGTATCTACTAACCTTCCCTTTAGAGTTGTTGAAGAAGAAAGAAGAAGGTAAGAGAGGTTTAAAGGAATTGGGTGTGATGAGTAACCTGTGATACTAATAATAGGCACACGAAGAAAGCAAAGGAAATGAAGTAAGGAAGGTTGTGTTGTGAGAGTTTGTGTGTCTGTTTTAGAGTGTAAGCTTGACTATATTTAGAGGAGAAATCCATGCAAGAGATGGATGAGAAGAGAAAGCAGCACGTGTATTTAAGTGAGAGTTCTACGCTTCCCCAAATCTGACGGCTGAGATTGGTGAAGGCGATCATCCCCATGGGGCCATGATGGTTGAGGAACCTACTCAAAACCTAACTGCCATACTCAAAAACTATTCCTTCCTTAAGGAATTTCCCACATCTACCACTTTCATCTGCTCCTTATTCTTTTCTACTTTCTTTCTTCATTTTCCGCCCCATTCTTTTCTTTTTCCTTCATTCCCCACTGCCACTTTGGATCTTTTGGTTCAACTCTCTTCATCTTACTCAGTGTATCATCAAATCATTTGTCGTCAACTTTACGGTGTTAGAACACGTCTATTAGGAAGGTTTTCACACCCTTACAAGAAATTGTTCGTTTTCTAACCGAGGAATCTCACGGATTGATTCTTCTGAGAAGAAAAAAGGAAAGGAAAGAGAAGGAGAACAAACCAAGAGAGAGGAGGTGCGGTGCCGGCCTACGTTGGCGATTAAACACAAAGCTAATGAATGGGAAAGGAAAGGGTAAATGTATTGATTAGGATTGCTAATCACATGTGAACTATGATTAAGGGGCACCTTCCATTTGGTTGTTCCCTTCTTCCCAGCACTTTGGTACGGTTTTTAGCTGTGACTTGTCTGTAATTGCCTTCCATTTTCTGCTTTGTTTTTTCCTCCACAATGTGTCAGACAGACACAAACTATTCATTTCAATTCACCACAATATATAATATAACTACGCGAACTCTCTTTTGGAATAAAATAAACTATAGTATATGTTTAATCTTAAGCAACATGTGCATTGTTCGCCAACCACATCCAATCCAGTTTGATTCTCTGCTGCTGTAAGGAAGATGATAACAAATGGGTGATGATTTCTATAAACTAAGGTTCGTACGAGTTATCGATTAGTTTGACCGAAGGCTACCGAGATTTAAAAAAGATAGAAAAGAGAGTTGGGATCGTTGGAAGCACGTATGATGAAGAAGATGATATGATAATGTGGATCTTTTGCATATGGTGCGGGCTAATGTCTGGAAGGACTTGACTTGGAAGTGAGGGGAGCTCCAAAAAAAGTGATGCTCAAATTTTAAAAAGTGGAACCCTTTATAGAGCAAAGACTGGGCAATCGCTGTTTCTCTCTCTAACAAAGCCTAGCTGTTACATATCAACAAGAATGGAGGATAAGATGCTCCCTGCCACTGCCTTTATGCTGCTTTCCCAACCTCTTTGACTCCTATTTTTCACCACCCAAACCCATAACCCCCAGCTTTTTCCCTCTAGATTCCCACAAATGCTTTGGAAAAATCCACATTGGGTTTGGGTTTTTTCTATATTTAGTGCAAATAAACCACTCATAAAGCAAATTCAAGTCACTCGGAAACCAGCAATGACAGATAATGAATTATGCACAACTTTTGTGAAACTTTATGGCACTAACATGATGCACAAACCAATATGAAATAGTTTGCTGTCACTTTCGGCACTAAAAGAAATACGGGTTCCAAAAGAAGAGTCAAGAGAGGTGATAAAAACAACATAGATGCAGATTCAATGAAAGCAAATGATTACGGTTGGTTCACTAAGAGCCAATGATCTACACAGAACTGGATCCTTTGCAGTCGGATCATTTAAGGAGGAAAGGACAAATATGAATACATGAACAACAGGCCCACTGCTATAATACTTGACAACTTAGTTTATTAGGTAAACACGTCTCCGAAGCAATTTCAACATATTTTAACCATTATGTATCAATTATTCATGTTCACGGCTATATACAGATAATGAGCTAATAAAAAAATGGATGAGCAAAAACTCACTTTTTCTTCTGCACATGAGGTAACATGAGTCCATTACTTTTCATTTATGATCAAGCGACGATATCTTGAAGGAAAACCAATTGTGTTTCAAGTATATCATCTCCTTACAGGGAAGGTAGCTAGCTGTCCATCTTATAGCTTGATGAGAAAGAAAAATTGCAACTCTCCCTACCTCTATATGCAGGAGAAAATTTTTGGGTGATTCACCCCATGATGGTAAAAAGAAGGAAATTTTTTTTCCCATTCCAATTTACCATTCATGATGACGATAGCTCAGGCTGCAACTAACTCAAGTTCTTTCCATCCATTGCCTTGTAATTACTCGAATCATCTCCAAAGACTTCTTCTATCATACTGCTAGTTGGTAAGAAGTCAACTTCACTTTTCGAACAAGTCAAGTATCCAACGTCCCACACCTTAGCATCACAATGCTCCTGAACTGTTGACGGCTCATGTCCAAGTCCAACACTATTGTTTGGCCCCGTAAAACTACCCAGCCATTGATCACAATGCTCCGTCTTGGCTGGAAGTGCTTGAGTTGTAGGACATGTGTCAGATGACGTGCAAGAATCATCTTGCACTTCGTGTTCTCCCCTTTCGTCGCAGGGAATTTTGTTCGGAAGCGTTGGAGTGGAACCGCAATTATTAAAACAAATGCCAATTCCCCCACTTTCATCATCATCAAATCTTTCATCAGCGATATCCTCGTCGTACTCTTGCAAATCATCTTCCCTGCCACGATCAAAACCAGATCCAACGTCATGTAGTGGTGATTCAACAACAGAATCATCATCTTCTTCTGTCATTCCAGGTTCATTATCACCATAATCATCAGTTCCTTGCCACTCATCATTGTCACTATCAATGTTTAATGAGTCACATCTGTTCTGCTCTGCTCGTCTCCGAAGCATAAAGACGTTGAAGTAATAGCTAACGATCTCCTTTTTAGATTTGGAAGCAAACACGACCGAAAGATCACCCCAGAAGTTTTTTCCCACTGAAACTGGATTAGAAAAGACAACCTCATAAAACAATCGTTCTTCTTCTTCACTCCATTTCTGTGCTACTTGCTCTCCCATTTCAGAAAACCCTAGCTCCACAAATCTCTCTTGTCCAATATTACTTTTAAGCTGCTCTCTTGCTTCTGCAATGTGCATATTAACACATCCCACGGACCCACCATCCTCACAGCTGCAAGCTGCTCTTCCACTCCCAAATTCTTGACTACAACTGATGGGTGAATCCACGTCTGGCATTGGAATAACACAGGTGCCAATCAACCTCTTCTCGTATTCGTTGCCTGTAAGATCAGACTTTGAATCTGATCCAGACACATATGACATAACCTCCACATCCCGTGATCTCCAAGGTGGTACAATAGCTTGATGATCAGGACCAATAGAAACAGATTTTTGAGGAGGGTGGTCCAATAGTAAAGAATATATTTCTTCACAGTACGTCAATATTCTTCGCTGATGATTTACAGGGTTAAAAAATTCTGAGGAAATAGAATAATGTCGAGGAGATTTAGATGGGGACCCCTCTTCAGGGGCCTTACTGTTGTTCGCGCCAGAGGAGAAGGATATGCAGCCAGGAATGCTAGTATCGAAGTCACTTCCGTGCGGCTCTGAGAAAACTGCACTTGAATGTTTTTCGTCAATTTCTGTGTCATTCTTTTGAGATTCATCCCCTAACAACGACAACGGAAAATGAAATTTCCATGAGTTATTCAGACAGCTCAAAATAGAAAACAATCACAAAAAATCTCTTTTGCAGCTAATCTTAGTGAAGCAATTATCATTGAAATACAAAATCTGCAGTTGCTATGTTACCATCCTGCAAGATAGCAAATTTTACAAACTACTGGTCTAAGACCCTTGTTAAAAACTTCAACATAATATTATGGCCAAACTCGCACCTAGAGCATAATGATACTGTAGAGTATCTTCAGGGATCACAGATTCTGAAAATGACAGTATTTGGTTACTCTGTTCAACCACTTGTTTCAAGTGCTTGGAAGAGATCTCCATTGATTCCCCATCATCAAACGGCTGATTCTGTACCATTTTAAAAGCAGCACCGATTGTGATCTGAGGAGAAAAAAAATAATTGAAAAAACATTTCAGAACTCCCATCGACAAATCAAGAAACAGATCGAGCCAACATGAACAACAAATATTACATCAATCATAAAGTAAGAAGGGAAAAACACAGTATCTTCTACACTTCCCTAATTTCTTTTAACCAAAAGCATTCTAGGGAAAATCAATGCTCAAATCTTGAAAGGATCTTAATCAAATACTTTTGATGCTTCCTAACAAAAGCATTTTTAATTCCCAAATATAGTAGATAACCAGTGAATCTTAAAATAGAGTGATTGGTCAGGAAAAAAATTCATAGACTAGTAGAATTAGACAATTTCTCTTTGTTAAATCACTTGGAGAAAATCATCGACGTCTCTCCTTCAATCTTTTATCACGACGGGGGTACATGTGTGTGTATGACACTCTTCCAAACATATCCCATTGATAATAGTATGTTCCATTCTAGAATCAACGAAGCAAATTAACCTCTTGGTGAGAAGGAATAACAAAAGGAAGTGGCTTAGTCAAAACAACATATAATCAATTCAAGAGAAGTGACCCATGCATGTTGAAGTCAATTCTAAAACAAGACATGCCAAACCCAAGACTGGAATACGAAGACTTGACCCTTTATAAGAAACAAGAGTGTCTAACATGCTTGGTTAGCTAGTCTTATGCTACATACGAAGGAAAGAATATTCTTCAAAAGCATTCTTGAAGAAACATGAGACCTGAAAGAGACCATATTTTCAAAGTCAATCACTAATTAGAGGAAACTGATGATAGTGAGAATATCTTGTAATCAATACTTTAAATGTTTAGTTCCAGCCTTCTAGCAATGCCATAATCATATAACAACGCCGTGCTTTAATACTCGGTCGTGTTAAGGAGTATTCTAAGGGAAAGGACATAAATGTAAATATGTGCCGTTAAAAAAGGGGGGGCCGACTTGGCTTTATTAAAAAGACAAAAATTGAAGAACGATGAGAAATAAATTAAAAATTATAGCTAGATATATTCATCGATTAAACATCAAAACCGAAACCCTAAAAATTAAGAGCTATTAGCTTTGTACCTCAGAACAGTCGTCGAACCAACGAAGCAATAGACAAATCGGAAAAATGGAGCTCGGGTATACAAGCAATTGGCCGAAGAATTGCGGTTATTCCGAGAAATTTGAATTACCCCCAATTTAATTTGGTCAAAATAAAATAAAATCCCTAATACACAGAAACCCTAACCCTAAAATTCGCTTATCCACCGGAAGCGCGAAATCAAGCAAATCGGGAACAGCGATTTCCGATAAATTGATGGAATAAACGACTCCAAGCGAAGAACGAAAAAATTCCAGATCTAAGACACTCAGGTGATAAAAAAAAAAATATTTTACAATTAAAAAAAAAAAAAAAATCAAAACCAGAATCGGAGATGACAGATCTCCGATTAACCCCGAGGATCGGTGCTTTGATGAAAACCTACGGTGAAAAACGTAAAAAGAAGACGGAAACGGAAAAAATAGGGATCGATGTGTAGAGGAAGATGAAACAAAACCAGATCTAATAACGAAAAACAGATCGAGGCGTTGGATAGAGACGGATGAAACGAAAAAAGGATAAAAAGGTGGGAATTGAAAGAGGCGGCGGCGATGGACGATGACCTAAACTAGGGTTTGGTTTTTCTTTGAAGAAGGTTATCCGAAAAATCGAATATAACTAAAAGGGGCGCGAATCTTTATGGAATTACGGATAAAGCCCCTGCTTTGTTAGGGGCTCTTGAACGTGGATGAAATCGCTATGTATGTGAAATACAGTCGCACAACGTGGTAGTGATTTGGGTTTTAATCCAACGTCACGGATCCTCGACACGTGGCATCCTTCAAGGCCCTAAGTGACAAACTTTCTTGTAAAATGTATTATGTCCCCAATTGAAATATTTAAATTAAATCTTTTCCATACTAATTTATGAATTACAATTATTAATTTAGTTTTTTTAATTGTTATATACGAAAGAAATAAATATATTAAACTACGAGCAATAATGACCGTATTAAATTATTTGTTTTTCTTTATAATAATTTTATTATCATTCAATTGCCACAAATTACCAAAATATTCAAGGGACTATTACTATATGGTTAAATATATTATATATATATATATATTCTAGATTGAGAGAGGTGGTAATGAGGTGGTTGATGATCATTTTTTTATTAATTTGTCATATGATTGATTTTAAAATACCAGTCCTACCCCTAATAATGATCAGTCTGTGCCTTTATTTATTCCACTACTTCTATTAAAATAAAATAAATTTTGTATTATAGATTTGATATTTTTTTTTTTGGTTTAATTAATTAATTTTGGTCTTGGGCAAGTTTAAAGCTTTAACTGTTTGGTATGTAGTGTTTATATTAGCTAGCTTAAATTACATAAATTTTGATTGAGTTATACGAGAAATTAGCTTTTTTTTCTTACCCGACTTAATGATTGATATGTCGTTAACTTGTTTCATATGTCCATATTGAAAAATTGACTGTCTAGCTATCAACATATATTTTAATCAGTTAGACTATATAAACAATGTCGTATCCTAAAATTATTTTAAATATTTTCTCGAGCTAATCTATAAACTTCGACTATTTCCATTAATAATTTATAGAAAAAACCACTACCATCATACATAAAATAAATAATAAAGAAATGAAAAAGTAAGCTTGGCATTATTGTGAAAAGTTTAAAGTGACGTAAAAAGATTCGTCAAAAGTCTAACAATAAATGATTAATTCTCACCCACTGTATCGTAACACCCACAGAAAAGAGAGAAAACTGTATCCAGATATTTACAATTTCAATATTTTGTATTTATTTGAAAATACGCAAAAAAAAAAAAAAAAAAAAAAAAAACAATTCGGAAAAGCAATAATTCGCATTGAAATTAACATCGAATTTTTTATTTTTTTTCAATCACACGCAATTATTATTGTTATTATTATTTTAACTAAATAATGTATTGTACGAAGAAAAAGAAATCGAGTAAATATTTCGCATTGGGCCTGGGCCTGGGCCCAAAATAGTATTGAGATTTGGATTTCAAATTTATACAAGGCTGCTCAATGATAAGGCATCTAAACAAAAAAACAGTAGAATGGCTTGTGATTTTATACATGCCACTGTGCTGGCGTTGGTGTCCTGTTCTGTGTAAATTTTATTCTGCAAAAACACTGCACAATAGTCCAGTCACCATCTCAAGATTCTTTCACCATTTTGAATTTACGGCAACCAACCAACAAGTAAACAAGCAACCCATCTCCATGAATCTGTACAGAAGCAGTCAAAGTTGAAATGAGCAAGTTCAGAGGACAGATGTAGCAAAAGAGAAGGCAGGGAACAAGTCGGCCGTTTTAAAAGACTAATAGCTATAGTATATGTGAGACCCCATATCGGTTGGAGAAGAAAATAAAATATTCTTTATAAGGGTGTGAAGACGTCTCTTCAGCAAACGTGTTTTAAAAACCTTGGGGGAAGTCCGGAAGCAAAATCCCCCAAAAAAAATCCCAAAGAGGACAATATCTGCTAGCGACTGACTTTGTCTGTTACGGATAGTATTAAAGTCAGGTTCCGAACGATGTGCCAACAAGAAGGTTGAGTCTCGAAGGAAGGTGGACACGAGACGGTATGCCAACAAGGACGTTGGGCCCCGAAGGGGGTGGATTGAGAAGTCGTACATCAATTGGAGAAAGGAACGAATGCCAGCGAGGACCCTGGGCCTTGAAAGAGGGTGGATTGTGAGATCTCACATCGGTTGGAGAGTGAAAATAAAACAATCTTTATGCGGGTGTGGAAATCTCCCCATAACAAATGCGTTATAAAAACCTTGAGGGGAAATTCGAAAGAAAAAGTCCAAAAAGGACAATATCTGCTAGCGGTGAGCTTGAACTGTCATACTACTAGTACTATACTAATTACTAGCATAAAATATTGGAATGAAATCTTTTGAAGTGTTCATACAAAAGGTTGAGAAACTTACAAATTGTTTATAAAGCCAGTGCAATGGTTTTTATAGGTCGACACCCTCATCGAGGCCCTTGGAACTAATCATGACATTGGAATCAATTTGTTTGTCAATTTTCTTTTTTCTCCTTGCTTCAAAATCCTCGAATCCTTCCATCTGGCAGTCCATGGGAGAAACAAGCAATATTAATAAATAAGCATATTCCTCTTATTTTCTGAATAAGGTTCATTATGACGAAGTGCGATTAAGAAGTAGACCACACCTGCTGAAATTGATCCATTAAAATTGGATTACCATGCAAAGATACCTTCTGCAATGCTTTGCAATCTTTCAACAGGCTTGACGGTAACTGAAATAGAAATACAATACCACAGATCAAATATATTTATGCTAGAAGGAAGATTAATTACTAAGGCTACTATGCCTAAATTGTAGAGAAAGAGCACTTTGTGCATGCAAATTTGGGACCCAATTTTATAGCAACAGACAATATATCAGTCGGCTGTGCAAATGGATCTTGGATTATCAGTAATGAGAAATTTGGATGATAAGTCTACCAATTGACAGATCTCCAATCTAAGGAACTAGTTTTTCCTCATTACGTTCAACTCAACAATCAAGATCCTCGGCATATGGATTTCAATTCCAGGTTAGCAAGTTATGGACTAAAATTCAATATATCTAGCAAGGACTACAATCCTCCAGATACATCTCAAAAACTCAAGGAGATATTCATTTTATGTTAAATAGGAACTTGGTCACGACTACAATCAGAACTGTAAATTTAGGATGTTAAATCCTGGACGAATAGTTAAAAAAAGTCTACCTGGCCGATATTGTTATTGTCTAAACACAACGACTTCAAGTGAATCAGATTGCACAAAGATGAGGGAAGGCCTTCCATGAGATTGTCTGAAAATTTGTTCAAATGTAAACAGATCATTGAATAGAATCCTAATTCCTTGCTACAGAACCACAAGTTAGGGGACACCTTATAGGTCTCCAAACATGCAATCATACAAAGAAAACTAAGCAGGAACATGGCCGGTCATACACTAATTTTTTGGAATAATTCTCCAAAGTGTAGCAGGAGGCCAGCTTACAATAATTTGTTCAATTAATAAAATCTTTGCACGTCTAAAAGGGAGAAATGTTAAAAGTTCTATATCATTCATGCTGCCAAATAACTGTCAAAGTAATATGTACCATTCGCTTGCAATTCTTCAAGGGAGAAGCAACTTCCTACTGATTCTGGGAGTGATATTAACTTGTTGTTTGATACATTGATAAGCAATAACTGCATCATCAAACCACGCGTTAGTCCTGAAAGTTGATGATCCGCAAGTTTTACCACATCAAAATAAAAGGTTAAATGTGGAATTATATCATTTAAAAAAAGTTCAGAGCATTATCTTCCTAATTGAATTTTGATAGACATTAGCATCAATTTCGGTCCACATGCAATGAAGTTTACTGTTAACGTCACTATAAATACAAGTGTTATGATGTTGAGGCTTTCAAGATCTCAAGGTCTTCGGGAATTATGCTTCAATAGAAGTGCTTCCCCTGGATAGATAATTGAACTTTGCCCAGTCTCACCCCATGTTAAGGGCGTGTCATTTCCCACAAAAACAAAAGATTAATCTCATGAGTAGAACCTTGTTAGATCTACAAAGAGGTTACTAATCCAATACTTTGATTCAATGTTAGAAACAGCATAACTTGAAGTGCTCTGCAAATGCAACCAAATAAAAGATTACAGAGGAGGTATATCAGTTAAAATGCTGAGAATAAAATTCACTTACATTCCGCAAGCTTCCAATGGTTTCAGGTAAGGATGATAGCAAATTTCGGGAGACAGATAAACGTTCAAGCCTTACTAGCTGACCCACTACACACAAGAACCGACATTCATTAGGAATGTATTACAGAAATTTGTAAAAAAGACTAACAGAAGTTGCAGTAGTGTGGGGCAGAAAAGTTTATCGCTTCTTGCATTCCTTTTTAATCTCTTGTTAAATTAGATAAGAAAATTACATTCATCGGGTAATGTGGTAATGTGATTTCCATCAAGTATCATAACTTTTAGAGATTGGAGCTTCCCCAAATTCATTGGTAAACGCTCAATAAGGTTATCTGCCAATATCTGAAAAGGAAAATGAAAAATGTGAGATAAAAGTATCTTAATTGTTATTTCTACTTCTAATAAATTTTATAAATCTAAAAGATAAAGGAAAGATAGGGTTCAAAGGTTCTATATGACATGTTCAACTAGTGAGAGCTGAAGTACCAAGCTCTACAAATATGTGTTTTGATAAAAAATTTTGCAAAACAATAATGCATCAGATGAGCAATAATGAAATACAATCCCTACCAGACGCTGCATGTTTGTTAATTTGCAGACTTCCATAGGAATATCAACTGCAAAATAGTTAGAAGAGATAAGTTAATACAAGTATTGAAATTCTTATTCATTGGTAATTAGTAGTCTCATTACCGCCAATTTTAATTAGATAATAGATGCAAGGATGATTACAGTCAGAAAATAGCTTTTCAAGCATAATTGTGACCACGACAATGAAGTCATAAGAAAGGAGAGTGCAAGATACCCACCTATTTTATTGTTTGTTACATCAAGGGTGCGGACAGATCTGTCCAGGTCAAGAACTTCATCAGGAAATGTCTGTTCCAACATCAGTAGATGTGTGAGTAGATGGCTAACAAAACTGACTATGGTGCGAGCATTTCCAAAGAATGACACGAGTTATTGGAATTCATCAATTCATATAGTACTTTTCAGAATGACTAATTGTTCTATGCAGCAAAAGCTCGATCCAAACACTCCAAATACCATCAATATCAATATAGTCAAAAGTAATTGAAAAGCAAGGGTCCACATATGGCTAAAATTTCCAGATGACCCTATTTACAGGCTCCTATCTGTTGAGCATTAAGGTACCTTTGTCAATATCTTTCTGAAAAATACAAACAAAAAGAACATGCATATACAGGACTTGCAACCGTAATCTTTCTTTGATTGTCCCAACAGGAAGAACTATTTGGAATCCCCTAGTACGTCGGTTTTGTAAGATATATTTTACTCCTTTGATGAGATTTCTTCCTAACTGAAAAATCTAATTCATAATTTCGAACGATTCCATTAGCTATTTACATTCCTAATTCACCTGCTCCACCACATTGAGACACACAAAAATAACTATAAAATAAGCACATGGTCATAATAGAGCAAAATAAATCTTATAAACAGTCACTAGTAACCTATAACCTCCTACAAAGAAAGCCATGTATCCGTTCGATGGATGACTATAATTCAAATAGAATATGCATAAAAAGATGCCAAACCCAGCAAAAGAATAACATAAAATTCATATAGAAAAATAATAACAAAGATAACCTTCAACTTTGAGTCTCGCAAAGCCACTATGCCAGTAGCTTGCCATCGCGCAACTCGGCTGGCCTTTGAATCTGTGTTCTTGCTAGGATAGCACCCCATGTTGCCAGCAGAAGAGAAAAACTCAGCCTTGCAAGAAAGGAACAAGGATGATACTGATGACAAGCCTTTTAAATCCGTTTCTGTTACAAAAACAATCAGAAATAGCAGAACTGAAATGTAGCACTTTCACAGAATTTGGAACGGGTCAAGCACTTCACAACTATACTAGGACCTAAGAGTTTGGTTTATTATACCTTTCCAATGGTCTTTGCTGCCTAATAAATATGAGCAAAAATTAATAGCGTGTTACTGCAATTGTTAGAGTCGCGGAGACCGTCCAACTAGGTGTTCTTAAGGTTCGTATTACATTTCATTCATAAATTTGTATCAGGTTTGACTTCTAATGGCGAGACGCATTGTCCTAAAGCTTGGCATACGATAAAATCATGCATTACTTCCTCACACATCGTTGATCAAGTGATTTTCCGTCACATTTCAGATAATTTGAACGCGAAAAAAGTGAAAAGAAACTTAAAACTTCTCAAACTTCGTACCTCGGATATACGTCTCCGTGCCTCTACAGAGAAATTGAACAATCAAACGACCGCAGCTTCGATCATCGATGAACAGAGATGCCGAAGAAGTTTCGACTAACCCAAACTGGAACCAAACAAAAATGGTATCCCTGCTTCGGAGAAGACAGTATTGACCAAAATTCCTGAATTGAACAGCTGCAGAAGGATAAATAGTAGAGATTGATCAACAGAAACCCGAAGATCGTAAGGAATAAAGTAAAACAGCGAAAATGGGCTTGCAGGTCAGAGATGAAAATAATAATAAATGAACAAGAAGATCATTGAATTTCTCTGTAAAACCTTGACCAGGTGAATGGTTTGAGAAGACAATCGAGGCGGATATTAAAAGAAATGCTTAAAATAAAGATCGATCTTAGGATCGAAGCCGTTGAATTGAAATCAGACGGAGAAGATGATCAGAGCCAAATTGCGCGGGTGAAAGCCTGTAATCGGCTTCCAGTTTCTCCGTCTATCCGAACAGAGAATCTGAATAACTATTTATTGCATTGAAAATCACTACAAAAATATATAAAATATTCGAAATTATTATCAAGAATAGGAAATTAAAGGAGAGCAATAAATTATTTTTAAAATTTAAATATTTATTAAATACAAAAATTAAAAAATTTAGACAATGGATAAACCTAGACAAGCTTAGATGTAAAAAAACGGATTTTTCTTTTCACCAAATATTAAATTTCCCACCAATCACCGGAGTTGGTTTCCAGTTCCCACAAAGCAATTCACCGTCTCCTTCACGATCTCACACTCTTCTAGCTTCCTCCAGTAGAAACTTCGGAAAATTCCCGGAAAATCGTCGAGAAATTCTCGCCGGAAGTTTCAGAAGTCGCTGAAAGCTCATGCTGTATGCTCCGTAAATTTTCCTGGAAGGAGACGAAGAAAAGAGTGAGTATTCATCAAAGAGAGTAATTTAACGAATGTTTTCTTATTTGAGTGATTTTTCTCGAATCAGGTTTTTCTATGGGCATTTAGCTCATTTCCCCTAATCTGTCTCCAATCAATTTTACGTCTCTGAAACTAAGTTGTTAAATCTGTTTATGTCAACTGCGTATTAACTTTCTTTTTCTCATGCTCTTTAACTCGGATATGACTTCTGAGAATCAGGAAATGGAATTTGATGGAGTTTATTGTTTATTGTTTGTTCTCTTTTGGCATTCTCGAGTTAATAATGCATATATTTGTCTGTAAATGATTTCAGGGGAGTTCTTTGATGGCTTGGCTGTTGGTTATTACTGCCTTCGTTGTAATTTGGATTGCTTCATTATGCAAAATTTTTCATGCATCAGTTTCATCATCCAGGAGTGCTTTCTTAAATGGTGGTGTGATCACGGATTGTTTTGTCAAATTTTTCTTTATTCTTTAACACTAAAATACTGTTCTCTGTCATCCTTTGACATATAGATGGCACTCCTCAGAAGAAAAATATCTTGCTGGTCATTGCCCATCCAGATGATGAGTCTATGTAAGTTGTTTGCTGCCATTCTTTATTTTGCTTGCTGTGTTTATATCTTGCTCCTACGACAGATTTTTTTTTTTATAGATTTTATCTCATTGTCCATTGTTTATTTTGAGTTCTGAATGAAAATCTTTGTTACCTAAGTCCCTGCAGTTCTCCTTGCTGAAAATTGAATTGATAATGTTAATGTAACTACTTCTTCCATTTATACTTGCTCAGATTAGAACGGCATTTAAGATGCTCATAGATCAAATATTCAACTCGGACTTCAAAATTTAATCTGTGAACATTTGTTCAACAAAAACAATAATATCTACAACCAGAAGAGTTTAGAAATAATTGATATTTGTTAAGATGTATTATATCATTGGAATCGGACCCATTTTTACCGTATCAGTTGTTGATGTTCTCATTATGTGCAAATGTAATTAGTTCCTTACAAGTTCGTGGAGTTCAGCTGTCAATTTTGTACTTCACATACAAGGTCTGCTCACCAAGTTGTATTAGAATGTGCAATTTTATTTCTATTTTTATTTCTTTATAATTCAATATGTATGCAATTTATACCTTTTTATCTACGCCTCCTGATGCGGTTTTGCTACCCCTTGCAGGTTTTTTTCTCCAACAATGAACTTCCTCACATCAAGGGGCCATAAACTTTATATTTTATGCATGTCAATTGGTATTTCACTTCAGCAGTTCACTAGTTGGCCTTCTTTCTTTTATTAATTTATGTATCAAAATCTTGACTTGCATCTTGTGAATCCCAATTTCACAACTTAGGGCTTGTTTGGGGGATTGCTTTCAAAACCATTTTTGTGTTTTTGTGTACAGAATTGTTTTGTTTACATTTAAAACCACTTATAAATGATAAAATTATTTTATATTTAAATTACTATCCGTAAACACATGATTTTTCATAGACATAACAACTCTGATTGTTTTATAAAACAAGTCATCCATAGCCATTACAACAAACTTCGAAACCAATTATTCGAACATATTTTTTTGAAATAGCTTCCAAACGACCACTTATTTTTTTATTTTTTGTTCTTCATTTATCATATAGGTAATGCAGATGGCATGGGAACCATGAGAAGAGAAGAGCTATACAAAGCTTCCACAGTTCTTAAGGTGTTTGAAAAAGCTGGTATTTAAAAAATAAAAATGAAGATAATATCAATAATATTTTGATCTTTATTTATCGAAATTTGCTTTTGTTTTTATTCAAATCTAGGTTCCCCTCAATCAAGTGAAGATCCTGGATCATCCAGATTTGCAGGTGTGACTTTTAAAGTGTCTGGCTGAGTTTGATAATACTGTCACTTCTCGACATATCATATGAAGAATGTAATCCAATATAATGATGTCGTCAGGATGGTTTTGGCAAAGTGTGGGATCATAAATTGCTGGCAGGGATTATCGAACTGGAAATATCAAGCCATGGGATTGACTTGGTAATATCTTGGATCTGTTTAACTGGTTACTGGTGCAATACTGATATCATATCTACATTCAATTTTGGCTATCTATATTTTTCAGTTTCTGTCTGATATGTCTTACATTCAGTTCTTTCACTTCTTTTAACAGATTATTACTTTTGATAGCTATGGAGTTTCCGGTCACTGTAATCATCGTGATGTGCACAATGGGGTGCGGTAGGCTGCCTTCTAAACTTTTGATTTTCTTAACGTTAATTAAAAGAGAATTCTTACTATCATCTCTATGTCTAGTATAATCAATGATGTATTGCTCCTCCGCTCTAATAAAAAAAATCTTTTACTTTTCTTTTTCCAAATGCTGTAAACAGAGGTTTCTTGCACAATAAGGCTCCACAAAGTTTTGAGGCATGGGAACTAGTAAGTTTTCCTTTTCTACATATTTGATTCTCATTAAATCACGTTTCTATGTTGGTTAACTCGTGATTTTAGGATCCCACTTGCAGAATTCTTGTTCTTCCTACGTTGAGTGTGAGATCCCACATCGGTTGGGGAAGATAACAAAACACTCTTTATAAGGGTGTGGAAACATCTATCTAAAAGATGCGTTTTAATAACCTTGAGGGGAAGTCCAAAAAGGAAAGCCCAAATAAGACAATATCAGCTAGCGGTGGGCTTGGGCCATTTCATTGAGTTTCTATTTCCATTTGTAAATGCCTAGAAGTTGAGCTGTTCAGTGATCCATAATTCTATAGATACTTTAGTACTTAAATAGCAGGAATCTTTCCTTATCTGTGTTGAGGCTACGGAATGAGATGGAAGCCAAGTTATGGCTCAATGAATTATTAAAATTGATTAAACTCATAAATGACTTTTGGCTTGTTGATATGTGACAATTTCAAAGGAAATTCGGTACCAAAACTTATCACCATCCTTTGTCGACCAATGCATGGCATAGCGTCTATCAATAACATGTCTGTCTACTACCCATCTGTTTTCAGGTCTTCAGAGTTCCTATCTATAGCTAACTTAGCACCATCTTTTATACTATCTTTGTGTCACATGCATGCCACAGTGTCTATTAATGACATGTCTGTTGTAACCGATCTTCTTCGGGTCTTTGGGGTCCCAGTCTCTAGCTAATTGGTACTTCTAACACTTCATCAACTTTTGAGTTCCCTTTTCCATGAACTTATGTTTACTTTTCCCTGGCTATTCTCAGGTCAGTACCAATATACTGCGCAAGTATAGTGGTCCATTTGATATCTGGTTATCTAGTATGTTTTCCAAAGAGCACCCAAGTGGAATGATGCATTGCTTGTTAAATGAACGCCCACGGCAAAGCTACCTCGCAATGGCACAGCACGCAAGCCAATGGGTTTGGTATGTTTGTTTTGTGAATTTTATTTGAGATTAGTCTCTTATCGTAGTTGTGTTTCCACATTTGAGAGCTTCCCACGTCATGGTTATTTCATTCCCCCGTTCCCATTCCATTCATAAGGACATCTGGATTTGGTTGGCTGGAAAACTCCTTTACCCGTTGCTTTAATTGCCCTACTCTTTGTTTGGCAGGTTTCGGAAGCTCTTCGTTACCTTTTCCAGCTATACCTATGTCAACACACTCAAAAGAATTAACTAGCCATGCTGTTATAATGCTATACGATGTTACAGCATCACAGATATCTACTTCGCGGGAACTGTGGATTCGGATTTCTTCATTTCATGTGAGGTTTCTATTGTAGTCTCTCCCCTGTTTCTGGTGCGTTCTAATGATTGTGCTTTATTACATTATAAGAATTCACCTGATTTTACTCATTTTTGGGGAGAAAACTTATGAAAGACTGTCGTTTTCTGTAATTTAACATGGAATTCAGCTGGTGAACTAAACTCCATTGACAGTGCTTGAAAATGTGGACTTGGTCATTCTATCTAGTTCGATAATATATAGGTCGTGGTTTTACACCAGTCTAATACTAATCCTTTGCAAATCTGTTGAAAATAAGCAGAGAATGACTTGACTCGAAAACTCGAGGTCATCCAATCATTAATGTTGTTTATTGACCCGAGAAATTGTGTGAAATGATAACATACAATGAATAAAAAATAAAAAATTTCAAACTTACTTAAATCGAAATATGTAAACACTAAAACTTAATCAACAATTAAGTAGCAGAACCTTTAAAACAAAGTAAATTTTATATAACCGTGGAGGTTTGCTCTGAAAACAATTATAAAAATGTGAATCAACTTGCAGGCAAGAAAAAACAATGAATAATAGAGAAAGAACTAATCATCAAACTTTAATCTTGGAGATTAGACTCCATCTTTTATATCATTGGGACTTCTATGCCATAACAGGCATATCCTTGAGCCATGGATCCAGTGGTTTTCCAATGGAATAGACTATGAATCCAATCTCCCTCAGCCTTTGAACATCAACAACATTTCTGCCATCAAAAACAAATGCAGGTTTCTGCATTTGTTCAAAAATCCTTTGGAAATCAAGAGTCTTGAATTCATCCCATTCAGTAAGAATGCAGACTGCATGAGCATCTTTAGTTGCCTCATAGGGGTCCCAAGCAAAACTGACTTCCTTTGCCGCAGTTGGGCTCACTGGCTGCAAGTGGATTGGATGGTCCCAATCAAACTTGTTCATAGATAAGTCCCTTTGAATCTGATCCTCAGTTACTTGTGGGTCATATATACTCAGTTTTGCCTTGTCCCCCAAAAGTCCCTGGCAGACACTAATCGCAGGAGTTTCCCTTGTGTCACCTGTATCCTTCTTGAAAGCAAACCCGAGAATTGCTATCTTTTTGCCTGAAACTGTATTGAACATTGAAGAGACAACCCGGTTTACAAATCGGTTCTTTTGGTAGTCGTTGACCTTGATCACTTGTTTCCAGTAGCTAGCAGCTTGATTCAAGCCATTGCATTCACAAATATAAATCAAATTGAGAATGTCTTTCTGAAAACATGATCCACCAAAACCAACACTTGCATTGAGGAACTTGGGTCCGATTCTAGTATCTGTTCCAATGGCATGGGATACCTGTGACACATCTGCACCAGTAGCCTCACAGAGTGCTGACATTGCATTGATAGATGAGATCCTTTGAGCCAAAAATGCATTGGCAGCTAACTTTGATAGCTCTGCAGACCACAGATTGGTGGTGATAATTCTTTCTTCGGGCACCCACTGCGCATATACACTCTTCAAAGCCTGAACTGCCTTGAGACCATCGGGAGTTTCTCTCCCTCCTATGAGAACCCGGTCGGGGTTAAATAAATCTTTAATTGCAGTACCCTCAGCAAGGAACTCTGGATTTGAGAGAATCTGATATTTGATTCCCTTGCTGTTGTGGATAAGAATCTTTTCTATTGCTTCTGCTGTTTTTACAGGAACAGTTGATTTTTCAACAACGATCTTATCTGATTTTGATACATCAGCAATCATTCGGGCTGCACTCTCCCAATATGTGAGATCTGCAGCTTTGCCAGCTCCAAGGCCTCGAGTTTTTGTTGGAGTATTAACTGAAACAAAGATTATGTCAGCCTCTGAGACGTGCCTTTCAACATTTGTGCTGAAAAATAGGTTCTTTCCTCTGCACTGCTTCACTACATCATCAAGACCGGGCTCATATATTGGGAGTTGGTCACTATTCCAGGCTAAGATCTTGGAAACAGAGATGTCAACAACTACTACTTCAATTGTGGGGCATTTTGATGCTATCACTGCCATCGTAGGCCCACCGACATACCCTGCTCCAATGCAGCAGATCTTCACCATTTTCCTCAGTTGGAGCCTGAATGGAGGAACAGACAATCAAACCAAAGAGCTTTTCTTTTCCCAGGTATTGTGTATGTTTGGGGGGAGAAGAAAATAATGTGGAGGGTCAGAGAAAATGCGAATATTGACTTAGGTTGAAGGTAAGACAAAGGAACAATAGTATCGAAAAATATCAAAGCCTCAAATTCTATAGAAGAATGCATAGCTTAGGTATATTTTCAAGATCCTTTATGCATATTGCATGTAATAAAGAGATTATGCACAATGAGCATAAACTTACAATATTGGTGACATCCTACCCCACAAGTTGTGAACAAATAGAACCCTTTATGCATATCCATTTTCTAGATAAATAGCAATCAGAAAACACACATCCAAAACGGTATAGATATTAACCTATTTCGAAACAAGTTATGAAGAAAAACATGCACACACTTAAGAATTAGAACTGATAGATGCAGTACCTCTAATAAACTTGAAGGGGTTATGTTGAGTAGTGAAGAAGACGGTCAAGTTAGGAGACCCACTGAAGCTGAGTCTTCAAAACAAATGAGAGCAAATTTCTATAAGAAAATAAGATGCCTACAACCTCCTTAAATAGTCCAAGAATGTAAGTAAGATCTGCCTGTACCTGTGCAACTTTCACAAAGCAAAGAAAAGCGAAGCAAAGTCAGATTTTAAAAGCTGTGGGAGGACATTCAACACGTTTAGAGAAAGCAACTCTGCAGGAAGTAACAAACAAGGGGATTCAAATCATTATTGTAATTTTATCTTGGAAAAGTAGGAACCATCCAACAAGGAAAACCACCAAAATCATGTTGAAGTAGAGCAGTCCTTTCGTTTTCCTGAAGAATCGTGGAAAAGAACAAACTATAATAAAGGAAAAGAACAGAAAGTTCACAGATCTATAATTGCTAGTTGGTTGAGAATTACACATTGACAGACATAGTTGTACAAGTTTTACCAAGTTAGAAAAGGAAACACCATGCCAAGAATTAAGCATTCTTTCCATATATTCCATTGGTAATATTATATTAGTTAGCCAAAAAAGTAAGCCCAAAAATAAATTGAGAAAAAAACCATTGGTCAAAGGCTATGTACCAACCCTGGTATAGATGGAAAGAAAGTGTAATAACATTCAAAGATGCAAATCCCACCTCCTCAAAACTAGGGTAATCTCAGAAGTACAGCAAGAAATTGTAAGAAACGAAACACCTCAAGGAAAAAGGCTTTTATGAAGGGAGAAAGAGAAAGGGAAAGCAAGCAAGCAAGCAAGGGTAAGCTTACCGTTTGTAGACCATAAATGGAGGCATAAATGCAGGGCGTTGCCGAAAACAAGGGGCGGGGGCGGGGAGGGTTTGAGTGGGATCAAAGCTATGAAGGGAGTCATTTAATGAGAGAAATGAGGCAGTAATGCAAGGAGATTTCTGAGACATTAAGCTTGGCATTGAATATTAATGAGATTTACCTCAGAAATCGGCCCTGTAATTAATCAGCAGAAGATGGAAGAAACGTGAAATGCACTGCGAAGGGGTTATTCATTTGAGACGCAACGGAAGGAGAGAGAGAGGGCGTTCCTGTTGCATTGCAGAACCATGAATGATCGACAAGGAATTTAAGCTTTGAATAACGCTTCGTATTCCTTCCTTGGAAATGGAAATCCACTTTTTGCAGAGACACAGCACAGATACTGTTTCGTTGAACACTATCAAACTTTTCTTTTCTTTTTTACTCTCTCTTTTTTTAAATTTGAAAAGCTTTAAAAGAAATTAATAGCCTTACTATTTTTTGTTTTTGTCTAAAAATATTTGATTTGGTATAGTGACGTTGAAAACAAAGGAAAATAAATAAATTTTCAATAAAAATATATGGTTCTTACGTTATTAACAAGAAATACAAATAATAATAATAATAATAATTCTTCCATAAATAGGTTGAGAAATCAAAAAGAGAGCAAAGAATTTGTATGGAAGAAAAGCAATCAAGAGATTCAAAAGATGGTGATAAAAAGAAGAGCGATTTGTATGACTATGAAGAGTTTGAGGCGATAATTGGTCACATCAACAAAGCTACCCATTTCAGTCCCAATCTTTTGTCTATCCAATTGATCAATTCTCCATTTTATTGCCAACGTTTGAATCAAATTTATAAACAAAGTAGCGTTGGCTCAACTAAGAGGATCATATGCCAAGGTTGATTTCACTTACTCGGAAGTTATGGTCAATTCTTCCTTCTTTTAATTCAATTCAAAGCTGATCAATTTTATTATGTTTAGGCCGTCAACAAAAAAGAAAAAGAGAGATGGTTAGAGGAACCACAAAGCAAAAGGGGATGATTTTACCTGCCACCGGGAAGTTATGGAAGCAAATTAAGCAAAACTTGGCCAGTATTCTTTGGAAGAAAGATGTGAAGTAATGGTTTTATAATTTCATGAATGGTCATAAACTTTTAAAAGTGTCTAGTAGATTACTAAAATGTTTTACATTTATGTTTGAAATCTCGCTACCCACTTAGTCGAATATAAAAAAACGTCCTAGTTTGATTATTGAAAAAATTACAAGTTATTTTTTAGATTTAAAAACATACAATAAATTTTATGTCTAGGCTCAAGAGTAAATATGATCCATGTACAAAACTGAACATAAATAAGCTTTATCAATATGCTGCTATACACAAGCTTTTTCATTTTACATATATAATGAAAATTATGATCGGAATGAATTCTAATTGTTTAATTTAAGTTGAATTACTAACTTGTTATTTATAAGAGAAATTTTATTTTCATTTTTTTTCCATTAATAAAAATCTAAAAGAAGTGAGAATTGACGAACAAGATGAGGCTGATGGAAGTCACACATATTATAAGTAATTCTTCCATAACAATACTTTTGAATTCATAATAAATTCGAATTAAATCATCCAAGTTCCAACCTCATAAATCAACTAAACAAATCTAACCGAAACCAACCTCGAGCTTAGATAACCCACTCCCCCTACAAAAATTTCGAGTTAATATGAATGCTAAAGAAAAATCTATTTATTGTAGCATCTCACTTGGCTCCACACTACGTATCTTCTTGATGGGAGGAGTAAGCTCATCTAGGTACTCATCTAGGTACTACAATATCACTTATCAAATAGTCAAGGTGCACGCAAACTGACCCGATATTAAGAAAAAAACATATTGTTGGCCCCTATGTTCGTTCTCCATCATAATATAAAAACAGTCACCATCCCTAGAAAGCTCCTAAAGTAAATTAGGTAAAAGAAAAAAGAAAAAAAGATCGTAAACATTCTAAGCGAGGAGTCTAACTCTTCGTTCCTGGTCGCATAGGACTCAAGTAATTGGTTACTAATCCCATGATAGCAAACCTGGATTTGAGACCAAAGATGAGTTAAAACCACAAATGGATATAAACCGATGCTAATGAATCATAGTAAAATGTTGACTATGTTAACAGAAATATCACTCAAGCTAGTTGACTCAAGATGATCTGCTTAAACTTGAAAACCAATTTGAAAACCCAAGATGACCTGCCTAGACTGAGTTTTACCGAAGAAAATTTTATGAACATCACCTACCCTCTATAGTTTTGTATTCCGCCCTGATTGTCCTCAAACTATTAGTTAACATTACAGACAATCATGCTACCCTCTCTCATTTGTCTTGAGGTTCTTAACCCATCATCAAAGGGAGAAACTAAGAGATGCAGTTTCACAGGTCAGTTGGCCTCGTGCGCATTTTAGTCGTCATGCCACAACTCACCCCAACTCAGGTTGGACGAACAGCATTTTGAATCAACGGAAGAACAACCAATAGGTGGCACTCTCATTACACACTCATAACTAAATCTCTGCTGTATTTTTCTTTCCCAAGTAACCGTCAGGAGTACAAACAGGGTAGATATTAGAAATGTTATTAGGATCCAAGGACAGATTGGTATCATCAGCTAAGGAGTTTGCTAATGAGAGGTGGTTATAAATAGAGTGAATGGGAAGCAGGTGAAGGCAACATTTATGTAGTTATCTAAACTTGAGTTTGCTTGAGAGAGGTGTTCAAGTTCCTCAGATTACTTTGAGATAATTTACAACAAATTCTTATTTTGCAAGTTCTTAATCCAAATCTTATTTCAATTCTCTGGTTCCTGTTCGCAAGAAAAGTAATTTTTATGATGATTAATCAAAATTTACAAGTCACATGATCTACGACTCTAAAGCCATGCATAAATGAAAGGGTAAGAAGCAAGAATACAAAGGAAAAATAAAAATGGCAATCGAAATTTGCCAAGGGAGAATGTTCATTGTTTGCACACAACGTTTTGAGGCTGACATGAGGTAAACTAAAACTACAATGATAGATGCCAGTCCGTAACTAAGATTCAAGGTTCCTAAATCTCAAGTGTTGAGGACGCAATCATTTCTGAATCAGAAAGATCACAAAACAATATTGCTAATGTAAAAGACTGTAAATACTATCTCTTCTATCCTTACTTCAACTTATATATTCTTGGATGTTGGTTCGATCCCCTAGCTAATAAATATTGATTGTTGCATTTACAAAGCGCGGAAAAGACCACCTAGGCCGAATTTAGAATGTTCAGATCTCAGACAAACCCAAATTTACCAAATAATACATATGAACTAACAGAAAATATAGATCGGGAGGGGAAGAAAACTCACATCATGGCCATGGAAATCTGCTTGAGATCATTTTCAATATTCCTCATATTCGCAAGCGATTGGGCACAAAATATGATGGCAAGCCACGAACTAAGCTTGTACTGCCCAATTTCAACCAAAACCAAGAGAGTCACATGAGTAAAAAGTAAGCTCGCCATATCTACCGTATCAGTGCTCGAAAAGAAGCAGAATTACCCTGAACATGACACCGGCGATACCGAAAACTACGGCAATGAAACCGGAATAATCGACGGGCAGATCTTGCGGATTCACTGGCGGAGAAACAAAAGGCTTCGCCGCCGACGGCTGCCGTGGATCATTCGCTGGTGTCGACATCGCTTGACTGACTCTCGAGTCTGGACGACTCAGTCTCTTCCACTCGCTGGATACGATTGCTTTTGTGAATCCGGTTCTTAAGCTTATACCAAACTGAATTCAACTCCGGTCTATTATGCGGGTTGGATTTTCAGGCCGCGTGAAGGATGCGATTGGTTTAGTTGAACCGAACTGAACCCATCAAATATTAAATGGATAGTTTCCATATTTCTTTTTTATATATATTAACAAGATTTTGAGAATATAAAGTGTTATTTAAATAATTTTGATTTTTTAAAAATGTAAATGAAGTTAAAACAGTGGTAAATATTATTATTAATTTATAATTTTAATTTTATTTAAGGTTATATTATACATAAACCGCTCCCTCTCTTTTCTTCGCTCCCCCAAGTTAACAGCATTCTGCCTTCCTCCGCCGGCCGCACTTCAATTGCCTCGACGACCGGACAAAAAGCCTTATCACCATGGAGGCTCAGCATTTCTCTACGCCTCCTTCTAAAGGAGCTATTTCGAAATCTGGCAGCATTACAACACCAAGCTCGTCACCTCTACTTCCTTCGGTAATAAGGTTATGGCGGCCATCAGCGCAAAGGAACATTCGGAATCAGTGGTCGAAGTTGTCTTCACTCAAACAACAATGGGCTTCTTCTTCTTCTAGCGGGCGATCTCATGCTACATCTGTTGTCAATGCCTATCTATCACAAAAGTACTTCCATAAACTCCTCTATTTGCTCTGGTCTAACATGGTTGCTAGGTCTTGCTTGTTTGGGATTTTTATTGTCGGTTTTTTGGTTTAACTCTCAGGTATATGCCTTCTATGGAGCTAGGTTCTCTCAGTGACATGCTTGATATACGAAATAAAGCTTGTTTAAAATTGTCTAAGCAGCAGGTGATTTTTTATCCTAGCTGATAGTTTGCTGGATGTCATAATCTGTGGCGGAGCTTATTAATCCGTGGATGTTTAATTTTGAAATTTGATTTCTCGTTGTGATCTTCCTATCAGCTTAATTTTTTTAGTCTGTTGGCGATTTAGTATGCTACAAGAGTCAAAGACCAAGGAGTTTTCTGTTCCAACTTTGCTCTAGACAATTGCTTATTCATGACTTTTGGGCATGGAGAGATGAAAACAATCTTTCATGATTTTTACTAACACGCTGTGTACTATTCAATCTTGTTTCAGGAACTCTATCGAAGTAAACTCTTATCTTCATACAACGACATGGTACAGGTTTTTTTTTTTTTTTTTTTTTTTTTTTTTTTTTTCTTTTTTTTTCTGTTAATCCATTAGAAATTAGGCCAAAATCATTGCGTTATAAAAACTGTGTTAATTTTCTTTTCGCTCCTCTATGATCATTATCCAAGAAGTTGTATGACATAACCCAAAGTTATTTTCCCCGTCTCCGAAATGACTAACTCACATGGAGAAATTTGAAGCTTCTGTTTAGCCAAAAATGTGTGTGTTTGATCTTATTTAATGTCAATAATAACCTGAGCAAGCAAAAGCTAGAAGTTTCTGTCTCCCTTCACATAATTCTGCTGGTTCTCTACTCAACCGATGTTCTGTAACATATGTGTTTTCAAAAGCTTTTCGCAGGTTGATGTTGTAGTTCAGATGGTCAACACTTGCAGATTGATGAGATGTTATTTCAAGGGAACAAGTAGTAGCACGCTCATACAATTTTCCACTAGCTTTGAGGACAATCAAAGTGAAGATGCTGGAGATGGTGGTGGCATCTCCGTATTTACATCATTGACAATCCCTTGCTTTGGTGCGTATGAAGTTTCTAAGACCTCATTAATCAGGCTTGCACTTTTGAGTTCGTAAGGAATGAAAATTAGTTATAACCCTTCGAGTTCACAATGAATGAAATTTTCTCAAGACAGTAGGAAAGAATTTGGATCTGACACAAACTTAGATGACAATAGGAAAGAATGAAAATAAGCCTTTTGTTATCGATGTACTTTATTTTGATGACAGTAGGAACGAATTTGGACCTGACACGAACTTATTACGAGTTTTTTCCTCCTTAATATGAACTCAGAGAAATTGGCAGAGGAGCTTGTTCAAATGTTCGGGTTGGAGCTGAATCTGAAGGTAATTGAATGACTAGCTGCCTGCTTTGAGGTTTCGTCAACATGATATTCTTTGTTCAATAAATTTTCCTTTTATTTCTTGGTTGATGCAGCGGCAGCTTTTGATGGAACTTCTTTCTATTAGTTCTGGATCCTCACAATACAGCTTGGTCTGGTCGGAAGAGCTTTACTCGGGGGAGTTCGACAACTTGCGTTTGTGCAACTTGCTCTCTGAGGAAACTAGCACACCGCTGCATCCAACCTTGAAGGGTCGTGAATCCAATACACATATGGTTAGTCGTAACCATCAGCCAAACCCAGAAGTTTTGCAGGTCTTGAACTCTTTGCTATCCACATCAGTGCTTTAATAGTTAAGATTCATAAGACATGCATAAGCTCGCCCTTTGCTTATCACTTTCCGAAGTTCATCCATGGAACTAAGATCATTTTCTTTTCTATTTCAATATTCATTAGACATGCAGAAACTTGCCGTTTGGTTATCACTTTCCTCAGTTTATCATTCTGCAACACCACTAATAAGACGAGTTGAAACAGGTCTATCTTGTTGCATGGCTTGCAGACGTGAACATACACACAAAAAGGTAAGGACAAAAGTTTTTTTTTTTTTCCCTTCCCTTGAGTTAAAATATAGAGATAAACAGGTAAAACTTTGAGCAGTTGGGTTTATATATTTGAAGAGCGCAAAACTGGCATGTTGTGGTATGTCTAGAAGTTTGTTAATTAGGGTTTTTCACATTGCAGAGTAGATGAAATATTTGAAATAGTTAGCGAGGAGATACATGTCAGCCTATCCTAAGAGGATTAGAGGGGATCTTCTTCATGATATTGAAGCTGATGAAGAACAAGCTTTGTGATTCTACGTCGTGGATTGATCGACATGGGCGCCCCTACGAACACAGAAGACAGGTTTGTTAGAACTCTGACCATAATTCTCATACTGATTATGGGATGGTGGTGGTTGTTTATGGTCGGAATCAACAGCCATTAAAACTTAATGACTAAATCTAACCACAGCTGTTTCTTCTTCTGGAGAAAGTGAAGGGTTGGTGCAGTGTTTTTTTTTCCAGCCATTAAAACTTAATTTTTGCAGACAAATTAGGCAACTATTTGTCACATAGATTTGATTTGATTTTATATTAAGGAAACATTAATGAAATTTAATGCATTTCTCGTGCATAATCCCTTCCTTAATCACACAAAACACCCTAAAGTTTGATTTAGGATCATCATTTGGGAATTGGGATTGATACCCACAATAATTAATTCCCTCAAAACATCTCAATCATAAACCATACCCATTCCCATCAATTTCATTTTCATATTGGTAGAAACCAAACAAAAACTCTTTAATGTTCATCCAAGCACACCTTACCATACCATTCCAATATATTCAAGGCCCTTCCCATAATTAACCCTATAACCCAACTATTTAACAAATAGTCCTCTACAAAAGTACTATTTGCAAATAGTGGTGCCACACTATACATGAATTGCTATATGCCCCTTCTTCATATGGATACATTAGGCAAAAGAGAGATTCAATTCCTTTTTTTCTTCTATTCTTTCGTATTTGCCCTTCATTACTTCTTATGGTTGATTCAAAAGGGAGAAATTTCAATTATTCTTTGAAAGTTGTGATTTGCCACACAACCCATATGTAAGCCATAACTTTCATCCCCATTCTACTCTGTTTCCCACCATTTTTGTTGTGAAGTTGGGCATTCAAGCAGCTGGTTCATGAAGCCACAGGTTTAGAAGACACTAAAGTTTGAATTGGATACGAAATTACAGTGAAATTAATGATCCTTTATTCTCATTCATTCTACTCCCAAGAACCATTCATAGATAGTGACCCAAAAATCAAAGTTGAAACCTTTGCATGTTCAAGTTTGAGGACCGCTCATTTTGAGCAAATTAAGCTGTTTTAGAATAAAGAAAATGTCTTCAGAATCTAAGATTTTGTTTGGGAATCAATTCTATATTTCTAGAATAAAATATTATATTGTTCTTGTTATCGATTTTGTCGTAAATTCATGTAAATGAAACTGGTTTTGTAGTTTTAAAATGGTTATTTTAGTTCAAATATATAGACTAAAACTTTCGTTGAGATACTAGATTGAGTTATGATTTGGATCGAGTTGAGTTCAAATTATCTAAATTTATTATTATTTTTATTTCATTATAATTATATTATATTTAACTTGGTAGGTAATTTTTCAAAAAAATATATTGAAATGGTATTGTAAATCTTAATTATATATAACTAACATTTTATTAGTTCATTATTTAATAAACCTTTTTAGAGTAAAAAAAAAAATAATAATACGAATGCAAAATTAGTATTGTAGCTATAGAGGAAGAAGAACGTGAGTGATGATAGTTTATTACAACTGTTGATTAGGTAGTTACGATCCATCCAAATGAATGGGAACAATTTTAGAAATGATTTTGAAAGGACTAAACTTTAAATAAATTAAAAATAAAAAAAAAAAGCTTTTGGATATATGGGGTGTGGGGGGAGGGGGGAGAGGAAAAACTAAAGGGCATGACGTGGGCCCGTATTTGTTGTTGGATTATATCTCCTGAGGTGTGGGGTCCACTTAGGGAACACAACCATAGAAGCTGGTCTCACCACGTGGCCACCCACCAAATGCTTCTCCTTTTCATTCTCTTAGATGTAACAGTTTCCTGATATCAACTCCAAACTTACAATCCCTGTAATCCTCTTCTCTATATATAATCCTTTCCCACCTCTTCTTCCTTCCCATCAATGGCGGATTTCCCTCCCCACTTCCAGACCTTCATCTCCCCTCATTCCATGGAGGATCCTAGTCTCCACCTTCTCCCTCCTCCCTACTCTGTTCCACCCAACCCACCTCCTAATTTCACCAACTTCTTCCCATTCTCCAGCGACCCCTTCTTCCCCCACCAACCGCCACCGCAGTTTCCACCACCAAATCCGCCCGAACCCACCTCCAGCTTCCCACTTTTTCCGTCCCAAACTTCTCCCCCACCACCACTCTCTGAATTCCTCGACATCAAGAAGAGAAAATCCATGGATGTTTCAGAAAGCAGCTCTGGAATCTCAACTCCCCAACTCTCTGAAACAGGGTTCAACACAAAACAAGTACACCATTTAAACCAATTCATTTCAGCTCCTTCTCATTTGAATCCATGGCGTTAATGAAGCTTTCCTCTGTTTTCTTACAGAATTCAAGAAAAGGGAAGAGACTGAAACGAACAGAGATAGAAGAAGAGGAGAAATCAAGAAGAGAAGTGGTTCATGTTAGAGCCAGAAGAGGGCAAGCCACTGATAGCCACAGTTTAGCTGAAAGGGTAACTCTCAAATCATTGCTAATCATCTGCAAAAATACCTCTGTTCCTTTGTATATCATAATCAAAACAATTGCTATCAATCAATCAATCAGGTGAGAAGAGGCAAAATCAATGAACGACTAAGATGCTTGAAAGACATTGTCCCAGGATGCTACAAGGTAAGAACAAGAACCTAAGCATATTCTTGTCAAAAAAGTTCTTTTTTTCTTTTTTCTTTCAAGAATCTTGTTCTTTCTTTTTGTGGGTAATTTTAAGAAGAACAAAAGTGATTGAAACTTAATGTTTAATGGAATAACAGACCATGGGGATGGCAGTCATGTTGGATGAGATAATTAATTATGTTCAATCTCTGCAGAATCAAGTAGAGGTGAGTTCTTCAAATTATACATATAAATGAAGAACAAAAGGGATTGAAACTAAGTTTTTTTTTTTTTTTTGGTTTAATTTCAGTTTCTGTCTATGAAACTGGCTGCAGCTAGCTCTTTGTATGACTTCAACTCGGAGGTCGATGCCATATCAAAATTACAGGTAAATTACGATAGTAATTGATATCTTATCCATATAGTGCTATGCTCGAGTTCATAATCGTAGGTATTGTTGCAGAGAGCGAAGGCACATGAAGCAAAAGAAGAATTGGAGAGATTGATGAGAGAAGGATATGGAGGAATAGGTTGCTTCCACTCAAATTTGCCCCTTTGACTTTTATTTCTGGAAGTCAACATTAGAAGATCATCCATTTTTCAGTTTTTTTTCTTTTTTTTTTCTTTTTATGATTTTATAGATAAATTTGGTTCTCCATTTATTTATAATAGGTACTTAGTAGAAACAGCTTATTCCAATGGATAATTCTACTGTGTTGAAGGAAAAAAATGTACATGTACAACCAACTCGAGCATACCAATTATTGTTTGTTTTGTTTTTTCAAAGAAACAATAATTATAAATATCCGTGTCTAGGATTTGACACATAATGATTCCGTGCTATATGATCATATTACCTATTTGACTTACACTACTAATAACACGACTTGTTTTAGTATGTTTTATATTCACTCGTGCTTTTTTTGGAGGTAATATGTTTAACTTTGAAGCTCGTATAATTGAGCCACCAAAAATAAATTTATACCTTATTAATATAAGAAATATCGATTCTTTTAAACTTTTCTGGAGCATAATTTCGTATATTGATAATCATTTTAATTTAGATGTGGTTGGTTCTGATTCAAACGTGCGTTACATCATCTTTTAATTTTATTCACGACCCTAAAAAGTTTTCCTTTTATTCTTTATGCTTAAAAATCTTTCCACCAAAAAAAGATAATAGAGTGGTAGTGGAGTGTTAAGAAAAGAATATTAAAATTCCTAATACATCATTAAAAAAAATTAAAATTTAAAATTTTTGAGTTCTAATTGGATAATTTTAGAATTTCAAAATGGATGGGCACTTTTTAGAATTTGACATGAATTAAAGTAATAATAGTCGAGATTAAATCAGAGTTTTTGTTGATGCATGAATCTTGACGTTGGAGGTTATCGATGTGATATCCGAGTTGAGTCTTAGTCATCGAGATCATAGAATCTTGTACTGGTGTGGTACGATTAAGGATAGTATTAGGTCTAAATAGTGACTCTTCTCTATTTACGAGGTGAAATGCGTTAAAATCTTTTACTCTCTAGAGTGTAGGTAGGTCAATTGGAAGTCCACTTGTACTCACTATTCACTTTGGCACGTTTGAAGTCAAGCTCACCGCTAGCGAATATTGTCTTCCTTGGACTGTACTTGAAAGAGTATCCTCTCAAGATTTTTAAACACGTCTACTAGAGAGATGTTTCCACACCCATATAGGAAATGATTCATTCCCCTCTTCAACTGACGTGGGATTTCACATCATCCCACGTGGCTATCGTTATTCGACTTATAACAAGTTCGATATCAACATAAACATAGTTCAACTAATTAAAGCATTAATGTCTCGATCCTTTTATGATAAATTCAAAATCAACAAATTGATTAAAAACCAACTTTTGGCAAAGCTTACCCGATCTAACAAGTCCAAGTGCATAGCCACATAAACTATTCTTTTAAACCCAATTCAAAACGCCTTTAAATAATTAGAGTAATCGTCTCTTAAATAAATAATTATGCGAAACTTAATGATAAAAATAATAATAATAATTGACATGAAATATATTATATAGTTAATGTATATAGATGGTGAAATGCACGAGTATTGTCCCACACTGATTTTGATCAAAATATTCTAAAGTTGGCCGACCTAAATGTACTTTAATAAATTTACTTTTCCAATGTAAACCAATATATTAATGAATTAAAAATTAAAAAAAAATCATGAAGAAATCACATGACATATACTATTCTAATGTTTTAAATAATTGTACTATAGTTGCTTGTCATCCTCCCAACTTTAAATCTTTCACTTTGTCTCCTATTATTATTATTATTTTTTAATCATTTTTATTTATTTCATATATATGCTATTCAAATATGGATGAATAAGCAAGTACATATAATAGAATTTATATAATTTCAATAATAAAATAATATTAATTTCTTACGTGATTTATAGAATAAAAATAAAAATAAAAAAATGGTTATGAAACGAGACCTTAACGTTAACGTTAACGTCCAGCTCAGCTGTGGAAGGGAAGGGTATGGAAAGAAACAGATGTGTAATTAAAATTAGTGAAAAGGCAACAGCTAAATTTTGAAGAAAAATAATAATTAAAATTAAAATAAAATATATAAAATAAAAAAAAAAAAAAAAAA